TGCCACGCTGCCGTGTATGTGGCGTCGCCCGTGCGCAGTGAGCCCCCGCTGCCATCGCTCAGGTGGAGGGCCAGGCCGCCTCCGCTGATTTCAGCATTATCATAGGGCCCTGGTCTGCATCGATGATGAGCTTTGTATTATTAGTGAAACTTACTCCGACGGCTTACCGGGCAATAAGATAGATTCCAGCCTCCTGAGCATAATCGAACAGACGCTGGATGTTATGGGCGCCAGTCTCGAAATCGAAGGTTCCATTGACAGGCGAGTGAAAGTTCCAGAAAAGATAAACACTACATCGTTATCAGTCTCAATATTGGATTGTCACTGCGATTGAATCAGGGGGCCCGATTCTGAAAGTAGTTGTGTTCACACACCTGGCTGCGTTGAATCCATTGGCACGCATCTTCTGGAAGATATCAAGCCATAGTTCGGGCACAGGAAGTCTCGGATAGGCAAATTCGCCCGAGAAAACAAAGAGCCGGTTGCCATTCACGGACAAACTATACGGATCCCAGGACACCAGGTCTGTTAGACCGTCGGTAGTTGCCCGAGACCCGGTGAGCAGACTCGCCCCGAGCAGCAAGGACGACCAAAGCTTCATGGTGAGTATACGCTGAAACTGTCAGGTACTAAGAAAATCTCGTTCTGCAACCGTGCACTCGGCTTTAAGTATCTATAGCCATTATCTCTCCCCTTGAGCTCCGGTGCCATGGTGGATACTGACAGTATTGCCGAGAGCAAGGGCAATTTCCTCCGTTTGGTGGGCTCATCCTGGTCTTCAGGCTATAGACATCATGCAGGCTCTAGCCTCGGATTCTGACGGAAGCGATTGGTGCAGACTTGGAATAATCAAAATTAGATTAAGCAACGAGCGGGGAAATGAGGGGGTCACGGAGAAATACACACCGAGAACCCATGCAGGGGGTTACGTGGGCTGATATTACGTGCATTAGTCAGGGGACTCAGGGGTAAACTACACAGATGAGCTGGGGTAATGCCGAGGAAGAACATCGGGGATTGATGCTGATGGCTGAGGGAGGAAAAGGGAACAAGGGCGAAAGCCGTTGTGATAACAAGATATGCACGGGCAGTGGCGTGCTGCATGCCTGGGGCTTCAAGGCAGGCGATCAAGGCCGAGCTCCGGCGGAGGGTCACATGACACGTTGATTTCGTCTTCGCAGTCCGCATTCTCCGCAATCTCCGCATTCTCCGCCACCCTCACAACATGCAACCTTTCACTACTTTGGACAGGAAAAAAGAACCCTCTTCCTACTCTTAATACCCGAACAAATAACCGCACCTTACTTCATATATCCCAAGCCTGTTTGAAATATCCGAGTATCCAAAGGCTGTTCTAAATATCCGCAGCCTTAGACTCCCTCCAGCAGCTCATTGGGAAGATAGATGGGCATCGAGTCCTCGCACTTGCTATCCGTCAGCACCCTCTTGTTCGGACCGTCCTTATCCATCACCATGATCTGTCCGTATGGTTGGAATATGTTGTCGTACGTCACAGCTTCATCTTAAAATTCAAACATGCCGCTAGAGTACAGAATGCCCCCATCCGCTGTCCACAGCGCATGAGCATCATTAGCCTCGCTACTTGTGAGAACCTGCAGGTCTGTCCCGTCAGGGCGGATTGTGCAGACTTCGAAGTCCGCCTTCGAAGTCCGACGTGTGAAGACGATCAACTCTCCGTCGGGTGACAACCTGGGCAGATTATCCCATCCATTAGTCGACACTGTTATATTTTTCTGGTCGTCAGGTTCATCAGGCGAAGACCGTCAGGCACTCCGTTAGCCCATTCGCGGAAGACAAAGTACCAGCCGTCGTGAGAATAACTTGGGAACCCCGAATTGACCGTGAGCTCAGTAATCTTCTCATGGTAAATAAGAGCCGTTGGCAGTAGCCCAGGCAACGTAAGCTTTCATGCTCGTTCTTTCCTCAAATCAGGCACCCAGTTCGAAAGCAATCCACTCTCCATCGGGAACCAGGAGGGTTGAAATGCGCTGGCAAGACCCTCTCCGACGAGCTCGGTACTGATATTCGTTTGATACGATGGGTTGAACACCATGTATTGGTTTATTCCGTTCGGTTTCATCGTGACGATGGACGAGTTGCCAAGCTGCTTTTGTGTCATCATGAGTCGTCCTTGCTTTGAGGCCAACGGGAACACAGTGGTGAAAGAATACTCCCACTCAGAAACTCAGCTAGACAGTATCAAGGTGCATTGCGCCTAATGACAACAAGTACCAGTGTATTCTTGAGACTCTAGACTGGTCACTGTGTCTGTCACCTGCCTGACATGTACTGTTTTATCCCCCGAATCGGTGCTTTGATTATGGTCACGTGTAGATAAGATAACTTTACAGTGTTTAGCCTCGGTATCTGCCGCCGGTCAGGCTTGGCAGGCACGCTCAATGTCTCCGACACTCGAACACTTCAATTTCTTCAGCATCTCAATACTCTTGGTCATATCTTTTCACTGTTTCCTCTCCCTCATACTCTGGCTTATGACCATAGTAGTGTCTATACGAGCTCAATCCAGTTGTTGCGTAAATCATGGCAAACATGTCTGTCGCTAATTCGTCCTCAAGACCCGCTAGCGGAAATTTATCGGGTCTCGAGCACTGAATTGCAGCCAGATGTACTAGACCATCTTGAAAGCCTCTTGCTTGTCAATCGCCACTATACGAGGGCCAAGGCAACACACTGAGAGTGTTTTTTTCAGCAGCTTCCCAAAAGGCTTATCAGAAGGGACTATAATCTGAAAGTCAGCTCCGACGGACGGCCGAATAAGCTATCCCCCCCGCCTTCGATCGCATCCCAGACAGGCAAAGATGGCCCCTTTCATTTCGTCAACAGGTCCATGGTCAGGGATCACTCTCCCAAAAAGGCAACTCCCGATCGACCCTGAACTACTTGAGTCCTGCTGAGTAGGCTGTGCAGCACCTGGGACATGATGACTGGCTCTTCTGTCGGCCCCCAATGCTACCAACCAACACTTGGGGCATAGCAGGATTGGTTATGAAACAGCCAATGCCAAGAAGCGAGTCAGTTGTGGAGACAATCACCACCACCCCTTGCATTCCAGCTGCTTATTTATCTCCAGGGTCTCACCACCCAGTCTGCACGATTCGAGAGCATACAGATTAAGCAAGTCACCACCATAATGCTTGTCAACCTAGGTGCCTTGGCCGGCTTCATTGCCGTCGGCCACGCCGCAGTCGGCGGAAAACGCGCCACCGAGGCCGCCGCATACAGCTCCAACTCGGCGGGCAATTACAAACTCAGCTCCATCGCTGCCCCCGTGCAAGGCAACGGCAGTCCCGGCTCTGCGTCTACCTGGAAGTTCACTGTCGACGACACCACGTCCGGCCACCGGCAGACCATCAATGGCTTCGGGGCGGCCGTCACCGACGCGACCGTGACATCCTTCAACACCCTGAACCAAGCCACGCTCCAACAGCTGCTGAATGAGCTGATGACTACTGACGGCGCGAATTTCGCTCTGATGCGACACACCATCGGCGCATCCGACCTCTCCGGCGACCCAGCCTACACCTACGATGACAACAACAATGCCGCCGACCCGTCGTTGACCGGGTTCAACTTGGGCGATCGAGGCACCGCCATGGCTAAGCTCCTCGCCACGATGAAGACCCTGCAGTCCAGCCTCACGATTCTGGGCTCTTCTTGGAGCCCGCCGGGGTGGATGAAACTCAACAGCGTCATCGACGGCAGCACGACCAACAACAACCTGAACGACGGGTACCTGGCCAGCGGCGGCACAGGCAGCACGGGCTACGCCGCCGCCTTCGCGCAGTACTTTGTGAAATACATCCAAGCGTACACCAACCTGGGAGCGCCGATCGATGCGATCACCATCCAGAACGAGCCTCTGAACAGCCAAGCGGGTTATCCGACCATGTATGTGTATGCATACGAGTCCGCAGATCTGATCGAGAGATACGTAGGTCCCGCCTTGGCGCAAGCGGGCCTCGACACAAAGGTCTGGGCCTACGACCACAATACTGGTACTTGCCCCCTAACCCTACCTCCCCAATCCCCCTTCCCACCACCGCTCACTAACAAGCATGAAGACGTCCCAAGCTACCCGCAAACCATCCTCTCCAGCGGCGCCAGTGCCTACGTCCCCGCAGTCGCCTGGCACTGCTACGCCAGCAACGTTGACTGGACCGTCCTCTCCAGCTTTCACGCCTCAAACCCAAACACCGAACAATACATGACGGAATGCTGGACGCCCGCATCCGGGGCGTGGCACCAAGCCGCGGATTTCACGATGGGCCCGCTGCAGAACTACGCCGCGGGTGTCATGGCGTGGACGCTGGGCACCGACGCCAACGACGGGCCACACCTGTCCTCGGGAGGGTGCGCCACCTGTCACGGGCTGGTCACGGTGAACAGCGCCACGAGCTACACGCTGAACACGGCGTATTACATGATGGCGCAGTTTAGCAAGTTCATGCCCCCCGGGGCGGTGGTGGTGAGCGGCACGGGCAGTTACACGTATGACAACGGGGGCGGCGTGCAGTCGGTGGCGTCAGTGAATCCGGACGGGTCGCGCACAGTGGTGATCCAGAATACCTTTGGAAATGATGTGTATGTGACGGTGACGTTGGGGTCGGGCGCGGTGTGGAGTGGGAATGTGCCCGAGGAGTCGGTGACGACCTGGGTTTTGCCTGCTTAAGAATATTGCTTTTGTGGGTGTGTGTTAGAGGGGAATAGGTATCTGGATCGACCCTAGGACAGGACGTAGTCAAGGGCCAATTATGCTATGATTTGTGGTTTTCAGACTGTTTGGTATGGTAGTCCTACGCGTCATCCTCATGGATATTTCTCCAACGCAGTAGAATACAACCCCTTCCTCAAGCCCCGGATCGGCTCGGAATCAATATTCACGAAGAACTCTCCTATCTATATCAGCTTATATGAAAGGCACAGTCCCGCGCGCTACCTTTTTTCAGGAAACCATATTTTCAAGAACGTTTCTTCAAGCCCTCGTCCTCAGCAGCCCGCCGACTCAAACAGTCCTTCACCGCGCGCTTCAGTCCCTCCTCCAGCCTCACAACCGGCCGATATCCAAGCCGCGTCTTCGCTGTATCGATGCAAAAATACCGCGTCATACAGCTGAGCCGCACTCTGGTTCCGGTCAGCGGAGGCTGGTCCAGGCCCAGTGCCCACGACCGGGGGATCACCCACACCTGCTCGCGCCGCGTTGTATCCCACGCGAACTGCCACACCAGCCGCGTGAAGTCCCAGAAGCAGCGCGTCTCATCGTTGGTGATGAAAAAGGCCTCCCCATCTACCTTTGTCTTGTCGTCATCATCATCCTGATCATCTGGCGTGTCGTGAACTTTCTCAACTTGGGCCAGCAGCTCCGCGGCCCGCCAGATAATGCGCGTGCGCGACGTTTGTATTCTCGGTAAAGTCAAGGCGATTCCGATTTTCGCCAATCTGCCACCTGGTCTGGCCGAGGAAATACGCGTCCAGGATGCCCGGGAGCACGACGAGGTCGCCAACGCCGAAGATGCCCGAAGGTCGGATCGCGCAGGTCAGGAAGGGGTTGGAGGCACGCCAGCGCTGGGCGCTGGTTCTGGAACAGGACGTACAACTCCGCGAGGGCCTTGGTGTAGACGTAGACTTCCGGCTGTTGGCTCTGCTCGAGAAGCACGGGGAAGGTCTCGTCGGTGTGGATCAGATCGGTCTGGGCGTCGCTGATGATGCTGGCGGAGCTGCTGTACACGAAGCATTGAGTGCCTGATTCTTGCGCGAAGTGGAGGAGTGCTCGCGTGCCTTTTATGTTCACTTTGCAGAGGATGGGGCTTGGGGCGTCGAATTTCGGGCTGGCGGTGTGGATGGACGATCTTGGGTCGCACCTTTGCAAAGAGCTGGCGTATCGTGTTGGCGTCGTTCAGGTCTCCGGTGTAATAGTTCACTCCGGAGAGATAGTAGGATGGTTGTCGGAGATTTAGGGAGTGGAGATACTCGCAGCCACGCTCCGCGAAGAGTTGAAGGATCCGGCTGGCGAGGCCCCCGGATCCACCGGTCACAAAGACCGTGCTTTGGCTCAAGTGAGAGTGCCCGTCAGGCGTGTTCATGGCAAATTGTCGGAAGAGCAAATGTATATGTATATGTGTGTGGTGGAGACCAACTTATTGGAGAGAAGGGCGAGGGGGGGTTGAAGAAGGGAGACGGACGTGCAACCGTGTGGACACAAATGAACACAGGGGTAAGCGTAAGCGGCTCATGACTTTGTCGACATTCAGCTAAATTCGGGCTGGTCAAACGTACTGTACTGTACATTAGTACTCTGTATGCTACTAGCTCAGTTCCATAAAGGATCCTCGTCGCGGAATCCCTGATAACGCGAAGGTCAAGTGCGGGAAAAGCAGTTTCTACATGGACATGTCATGGCCAGTAGCCTAGGGGTGGCGCTAGCCAAAGTACTAAGATATTACATGCTTCCACGCTTATGCAGTTGCTCCACATACAGCGTCCACTTCCGCTTGTATTTTTCTTCCAGACTACGGCTACACCTGCTTATCTCCTCGATCAGATACTTGCTTGTGTACGGGGAAGTTTGTTAGATTCATTTATATTTGATCAATCTCCAGAAGCAAATATAACCCATCCTCTCCCCCTTTTCAATCCTCGTAAAGCGCACGACGAAAGACAGCCCTATAGGTGGGCTCACAAGTGCCACCGGGAACCCTCAAATCTCCACTAAGATGACGGCTGAGGGCTTGATCACATTTTAGATACTCATGCTCGGTAAAGCTTCCGAGATTCCCATCGTAAATTCAATTCTGTCACTCCAGAAATTGCCAGGAAGATGCAAAGGATAGGAGCATGTTATCTTGCGTGAAGAGGTTGTCTCTTGATAGTATTTCAGTTTCATGCCATTAACTATGTTATAAAGTATTCAAACCTGGGTTGAATTTACTGTCCTCATACATATGCCACTAGAAAAGGGATAAAGACCCCCAAGACTGACTCCTCTATCCACCAAGAACATGCGCACCCACAAATCGCAGATCAAAATATATCAATAAAACCGCTCCACCAACCGCTCTGCATCCTCCCTTCTGACCCACCGACTCGACACGGAAAACATCACGGAAAGCACATCCCGCTCGGGCCACGTCGTCAAAAAAGATCGTCTGATCCGGAGGATTCGAGAGGATCGGCGACCGCATCTTCCACCTCCGTTCCCCACCCAGATCCACCTCGGGCTTAGCATCGAAGTTCCCGTGCAGCACGATCGAGCTCACTGTGCTGCTGTCGCCGTTCTTCGACCAAGTCTTTCACCATGGCTAGCAACTAAATGAGAATGAACAGTGAAAGTGTATGTAATCTCAAAGCCCTAGCAGGATCCATTCATTCTCACCCTCATGGCCTGGGCTATCTTTCGTCACGAGGGCAGAAATCAAGATTGACTAGACCTAATGCACAATGATCCCAACCAAAGCCTCACCACGGCTCAAAACTTCCACCCCCCTTGCCGAAACATAAACCTGTTGGGATCATACGCCTTGGCGATCCGCTCCAGCCGCACCTGGTTCTCCGCCCCGTAGCTGGCATACACATCCTGATAATCCGCCGCATCGTTCATGAACAACGGATTGACCCTGCATCATTCAATGAATCACGTTAGTATCTTTTTCAATGCCCACAGACTGCCCGTGAAGGCGAAACTTACGAAACAAAATCCACATCTCCAGCCATGTAATTCGTGGGCCTCGCCCCACGCAGCGTCTCATTGAACACAACGTTCACGCGATCCGCGACCTCCCGCAAATACCCGGGACACGCCTCGTTGCAATGCTCATTGACCCAGATCAGATCATTCTCGACCCAGAACCGGTCGCCGTGGCGCGGGTCCAAGCCGAGGGCATTCCCGCCGCGCGCCTGCGAGGCGTTCGCAATGCGCACGGACAGCGGCTGCGGCGTGAACGTCCCGATCTGAATATCGAGATCCCGAGAGGAGTCATTCCGGATCATGGCCTGGTACGTCGACCAATGCGCCTCCAGCAGGGTGGACATATTCTTGGGATCGAGGTTGGGGAAGGTATTCACTCGCGCGGCGGCCTTGATCCCGTAGATCTTGGCCCCGCCCGCCTGGTTGGTCAGCTCGGTGTACGTTGTCGTCTTGGTGCCGTCGATCAGCGCTTCGATCTTGTCCAGTCCCGCGAAGGCCCCCTCGCTGGGCGTGCGGCCGTCGTAGAAGAAGAACAGCATTGGGTTGGAGATCAGGGCGCCGGGCAGCCCGAAGTCGAAGGTCGGGATTACCGCCGCTTTGGCGTCCGGGTAGTCCCGGATGAACTCCGCCAGGGCTTCAAAGATGGCGGCGCGTTTGTCCGCCGTGTACACCTTGATTCCGCCCCAGATCTTGCCAGCATCCCCTAGGGGGTGCGCTTGGAAGGTGAATTTGGTGACGATCCCGAAGCGGTTGCCGCCCCCGCGCAGGGCCCACCAGAGGTCCGGGTGGGAGGTGCGGTTGGCGTTGACGATGGTCGCGTTCGGAAGGACCACCTCGTAGTTGACGACGTTGTCGCAGGTCAGGCCCTAGGATTGGGTTAGTTTGGGGTCTGTGGGAGCACAGCGAGTGCGACGGGGTTTTGGGGCAAGGGGCAGTACGTATTGAGCGGAGTAGTAGGACAACCCGCCGCCGAGAGTGAAGCCCGCCACTCCGATGTTGGCCAGTCGACCGCCGACTAGCACTTGGTTGGTCTTTTCGGCAACGGCGTAGACATCCCCCCAGCGAGCGCCGGGCCCGATGTCGAAGGTCTGTCCGTCGGGGTTGCGGGTGGTGGAGGAGAGGTTCTCGTGGAAAGAGATCAGCACGCCGCCGTTGGTGCTGGAGTAGCCGACGTTGAAGTTGTGGCCGCCGGATTTGAGGGCAAAGGGGGCGTCCGGATGTTGGTTCAGCTGCTGCACCGCGACGGCCACTTGCTGCGCGTTGGCGGGGAAGAAGGTGCACGCGGGTCGGTGCTCCGCGTTGACCCCGTTCCAGTACTCGGTCACCGCGTTGGTATAGTAGGATTGATTCCAGAAGGTCTGAAGGGCATCGGGGCCGGTGGGATCCCAGACGGTGTATTGGGGGTAGGTGGTATGCAGGTACTCGCACACGGCTACTGCGTCGCTGTTGGCAGTGCTCGCTGCTAGGAGGGGGAGGGCGACAGCCAGCAGTAGGGCTACCGAGCGCATGATTATGGTGTTGGCTGGGGAGGTCTTGTTCCTGAGAGCATTCCTGGTGCTGAAGCAGCTGTGCTAAATATCATTGAATCCGACCGTCCTGAAATTGGGTTGAGCCACGGCCCTACTCCGTATCCATTTCGTATTCCACCAGAGGCCGAAACAGACGGGAGGTTCATTCGCAGACCCTGCTTGGTTCACTTCCGACTGGCCAGACCCTAGATAAGGCTCGAAATATAGTCAGGGACCAACGTCCTTCGGTCAATGTCGATCTTTAGCCATGTTCACAAGCAGGGCTTGGCTGTTGGCTTGCCGAGGTGGAAGCGTTTCGGACGGCGAAATTTTGAGGCCCGCCCCTGTAGATCACCGCTCGCGTAGACTACTCTTCAAATGAAAACTCTCCGACCGGGGTCAAGGATTCATCCGTGATTTTGTTTCCCTGCTTTAATCCTTGTCACGCTACCGCACATGCATAAGTGGTGTGAAGGTTGCGTGATATATCTTGTAGGCGAGGGCGGGAGTCAGGTAGTTTGCATCCATGGTCTAAACAAATGAAAAAGCCGTCTGTTTTTGGAGCAATGCAGAAGACAGGATAGAATACTTATGGTATGTCGACTGCAAAGGAAGAGGAACGTGAATTTGAGTGGTGGTGATTCTTGAGGTGTTCATAGTATTGTAGGGCTTCGAATAAGCCTCACACAGGCTTGAATATCTCGATGGCAATTTATCATCCAAGAACAGTGCGAAGTCAAGCCTTGACTCTAGGCGAAGACCCACGAACCAAGGTAAGCTATCAATATATTTATTTGATAATCGCCAAGGCAGCGCCCAAATGTGGTGAATCACCACCACGAATAAAGCACTCTTGTCCCCGGGCGGTCGAGAGCAAAGTCCTCGACAGTCTTGTACATAACGGCGACCTGGCTTTCAGACTGCAAAACAAAGTCCCACGTCGTGACGCGGTGGTTCTCACACACCCATTGCCCATCGGTACAGGGACTCGCTTTATTTGGATCGCCCCGTGCTCGGGGACAACCCGTCTCCTCGATCTCGATCACCTTTTCAACGGTCCGCGCCGCCACAACGCCGTCGCAGATGCCCTCCCGGCGGGGATACTGACGAAGTAGCCTGAGCGCTCGATGTCGGACCTGCGGCTCGCGACAGCGGACAGCCACCCAGAACAGAGGCTCTACAATCCCAGTCTCGAGAGTGTACGCTGCCTTGATGCGCTGCAGATGGCCGTCGCCCACATCTCCCAGAATCCGCGCCACCCGCTCCACGAGCTGCACACTCTCTGCAAGATGAGAATCGGATGCCAATTCGCCGGGACTGAGGTCAACATGGTAGAAGAGTCCGGCAAGCGTCCGGCGCACCATCAGTAGATCCACGGCTTTGGAGTCCCGGGCATCCGCCGGCATCGTTTCTAGCACAATGTCCAGTTGGTTGTCCCACGCTTGTAGAAGTTGGAGCTGTGCCTCGCGGTCTGCGACAGGAATAGAGCAATAGTCCGCGCCCCGTTTGTTGAACTTCCACACCAGCCGTATCACACCATTGTAGATGGCTTCGATGGCTACATAGGCGTCGAAGAGAGTCAGGAATGTGGCGTGCGCATACAACGGGACTACCTGACGGTCGATCCAAGTCTTTGATTCGGCGCAGGCAAACATATAGGGGATGACCTGGGAGTCGAGCCGGGTGAAGATCAGGACCAACATGCTGGCAGCCACGTAGTCTCCGCACACGGTCACTTCCTGGTAGTCAACCTCCCATTCGGAGATAATCTTCAGGCCATTGCGAATGTGCATGTAGGCCTGATGCTGCAGGCTTTGCAAAACGCACATCGACGAGAAGATTGCACAGGTGGCTAGCACCACGATGCGATCCTCGAGGCTCAGAACCGGCTTGGAGCACAATTCGGACAGCGCCTGGATCGATTTGTTGTACTGTTTCAAAGCAAATTTCTTGCTGCGAATCTCCCTCTCTCCCGCTGGAGTGAAGCGAACATCCTGACCGACATAGTCCCGGTGCAGGCAGGCTAGAGCGGTCATGCCGTGCCACAGGGCCGGATAATGGTGGGCGAACCGCAACAGTTGATTGGACCAGAATCCGGGATCGAAAAACTCGGCCAGGGTGGAGGTGGTCACGGACTGGAAGAATGAGAAGTTGTCGAGTTCGGTGGAATCGTCGGAGATAAAATCCCAGGCAGACGGCATTAGCATCAAATGAGGCGGCGGGCGGATCGGCTCGTACCCGTCGCAGCGCCGTCCGGTCGACACGCATTTCTGGCAACTATGGACACACTGGGGATCAGACCAGACTGCTCAAGGTGCGGTTTTGTACGTCTTACTTTGGTTTGGCCTCATCACATTTGATGCGACGAATTCTGTCAAGTTCAAGTGTCAGCGTACGTGGCATATGCGACTGTGCGGGATTACCGGGTTGAGTTGCACCGTACTTGCAAGTGATACAGCCTGTTCTTGTTCTAGGAGCCCATCGCTTCTGCCTTGGTTTACCCTTTCTGACAGTGGTTGTGGCTGATGTAGAAGGGTCCATGAGGTGCAGTGGCTTGTATGGCTGAGGTTGTCTGATCACCAGAGTGGTGAGATTGGTGGAAGAGCAACCACAAGAGCGGGTGTGACAGAGAAAGATATCGGTCGGCATCACGTGAGCGCTAAGTGCTTAACGTTTTGAGGCGAGATGATCGTTGTGGTGATCTTTCTTTCACTAAGCAAGCCGTTCCTCTTAGTGTGCAGTCGAGGTCGTGATGGCGTCCGATTAGCGGCTGATGCCGTTGCCCTTTCATTGGACCAATTGGTGAAGGCTTGGAAATAAGGGTCAATAAGTGCGGCAGGAAAAGGGGAATTCGCCTCGATTATGAGTCTCGAGCTTTGGATTTTATGTTGCGGATGATAATCGTTATCATCATCATCATCATCATCATCATCATCATCGAGAATGGGGAAGAAACTGCAGTGCCAGTGAGGACATTCAAATCAGAGGGGGGCACCCAGGAATGGCATAAACGGATCAACAGGCGGTGAGAACAAGACCAGGCGAATAGGTGATAGGTGGTAGCATGATGTTTTGAGGCAAATGCCATCATATAAGCTTAGAAAACGGTGGAAATATTTGACAGGATGCACAAATGACCGGGTTACCCAGAAAGAACGGTCGCCTGCTTATATGTGAGCCTATAAAGTTCCAGTTGTGTTTGATTTGGTCGAGACCCTGGAAGCCCAGGCGGGGACAAGTAAAAAGCATCGGATCCGATCGGCGGTTGCTCCCGTTATGTAATATCGGCCTTTGATTGGTCGGATCGTCAATTCTTACAGTTTCATCGTTTGGGTATAGCCTCATCAGAGCCCAGCCCAGCCCAGCTGAGCCAGAACAAGAGGTATAAATCCCTCTGGTTTGAGGGCGCAAGGAATTCCTCAACCCAGCTCATTATCTTCATCATGGCTACTAATATCACCTATACTTTGCCCACCGACTCTTGGGTCGTGGTCACCGGTGCCAACGGCTACATCGGCTCTCAGGTGATCAACGCTTTCCTCGCCAAAGGCTACAGGGTGCGAGGCACGGTACGCTTCGAGAAGCCATGGCTTGTCGAGGGCTTTCGAGCCAAGTACGGTCCAGGCCGATTCGAGACCGTGATTGTCCCCCGACTGGAAGATGAAGGGGCTCTCGATGAGTTTGTGCAAGATGCAGGGGGTATTGTCCATGTGGTAGGTCTATTATTCACCAAGCGCCGTTGTGTTAGACATCAGAAACTGATACACAATACTTCTACACTCAGGCATCCGACCTGTCCTATCGACCCAACCCCAACGATGTAATTCCAGGGGTAGTCGCAGCAACAATAAATGTGTTAACTGCCGCAAAAAAGGCCCCATCCATAAAACGAGTGGTCGTCACCTCTTCAGTGAATGCAGCGTGTCTTGCGATGGATGATGCGTTTGGATTGCCAAGCAAGACAGTGGACCAGAGTGAGCGTCATCTTCCCTGTTGGACAGCTTGAAGCTCGGTTGTTGACAACGATTAGGCTCTTGGAACGATGCTGCGGTAGCGGCCGCATGGAATCCCGAAACACCGGACCAGATGAAGCCCAGCATTGTGTACACTGCAGCCAAGGTCACCGCTGAACGCAATGCGTGGAACTGGATGAAGGAGCACAAGCCGCATTTCATCTTGAACACGGTGCTTCCTAACATAGATGTATGTGTACCCACCGTGGACCCCAACCAGCCCCCCTTAGGCTTCGAACTCTAACGCTTCTAGTTCGGCACAATCCTCTTTCCTGAGTATCAAGGCTCATCGATGCGTGCTACGTGCATGTTGCTTGATGGAAGTGATTTTGTGATGAAGGTTGTTCCACCACGTAAGAATTCCCAGCCTTAGCTTTCCATAATGAAACTGTGCAGCTAACGTGTTATCTATAGACTGGTATGTCGATGTGGAGGACACTGCGCGTCTTCATGTCGTGGCTTTACTCGACCCCTCCGTACAATCCGAGCGCATCTTCGCGGCCGCAGCCCCGTTCAACTGGGCTGAGGTGATCACGATTCTACGAGAGCTACGGCCTGAGAACAACCGAATTCCCGATGCATACGATCCAGTGAGGGAGAAGTTTGACCTTGTGCCCACAAAGCGTGCCGAAGATCTACTGAAAAGCTTCTACGGCAGACCTGGGTGGACTTCATTGAGGGAATCTTTGGTGAACGGCATAGATGGATACTCCCAAGGGATCTAGGACTTCTCTATGAAGAGATTTTTCTCGGAAGCTGATAGGACTTGTTGGTGTCAGACCTGTTGTGTCAAACCTGTTGTGCCAGACAGCTTAACGGATTGCTTGTCATCCCGTAACGTACAGTACAAGACAGGGGTGGTAATTGAGCCGAAGCTTGTTAAGAGAATTTTGTCTTTGTTTGCTTGCTAAGTGTTGTTCCAAGCTTTTTGTTACTCTTCCGTGCAGACAAAGACAAATGTAGAAATTGAACAGCATCAAAGATATGTTGCTCCGCTGCTCATTGTGCAGCAGCTCTAAATTGTATGTTGTTTGATTTTCCTTTGTATGTTGAGGATATTATTCAATTGTTATTCATTATATCACGAGGTCTAGTAAAGAACATTGGGTGCGAAACCAGAGCCGACACAGAAAGGCAGTGTTCGATCAGATACTTCATCTCGATCGCGGTGGTCTATATAAACCCGTTCAAGACCTCTTGAGTCAATTGTCAACACCTTGTGATCGATCCTTGACAAGCCCAAATAGACCACAGTCATAACCCGACCTAGTGAGAAACCCTCGTGTATCACCACCTGCCAACATGAAGTTTGAAACACCAACAGCCGGTCGGGAAAGCTACATCCCCATGCAGGAGAACAGAAACTTCGGAATGATCCCGACCAAGAAAGCCTGGTTGGACAAGAAGGTGACCGTGCGTGTTGCTATGTGGTGCTCTCTGGCCCTCCAAATGATTGTGTGGTGTATCCAAAGGTTGATCATGAGCTATTGGTACCAGGGCTATGACTGGTACAAAACATCTGAGATCGGCTGTTACTACCAGGATCGGGGACTGCTGCTTCTTGTCTCGTTGTTTGCGAGCTCAGGCTTTTATTTGTGGTCAAAATATCCCTATCGATCGTGTTTCACCCTCGGTGAAGCGATCAAAATGTCTTTCCTGGGTTCGTTCTTTGTTTTCATCCTGGTGAATGTCGCCTCGTGGTTTGATGACACTTTTTGAAGACTTGCCCTTTTTTGGTCTGAAGTGATGGTCTTCTGTCACCTCAACCGGAACTTTTGAGGGAGTAGTCGCGCGTTCCAGGATAAGTGATAGCAACCTTTGTAGCTCAATCCCACCATTCAATAATATACACTGATATATCAATCCTATATCCTACTTTGCTCAGAATTGTTCATGCAATCTTCTTTAATATGGAATCCAGTTTAACATGCACAGATACTGAGTCGGCCCTTATATTGTACACCTCACATGTTGACATCCTAGTTGAACCAATTGATGAGGTAATTCCTTATTTACTGCTGGGCTCAGATGTACCTAGCAGTTAATACTTCACCAGTTAGCATTCATTTGACTAGGCCAAGCCCCTTTATCTGGGATTGAAAGGTTCTACAGCATTCCCAAAAATCAATCAATGCCTACAAAATATTCTGGATTAGTCTTGCGCCATGGCTTTGACAGCCCGCAGATGCTAAGTACTTAGTCAACTAAACACAAGGGCATTCGTTAGCCTCGGCAACATCGCCCATAGCATTCACCCACCAACCAAACCATAGCCTCGAAATTCATGCAGTCTTCGCCAAAGCCTCACGTCTTCCGGTACTGCTCGGATCCAAATAAGGCTTCTCACCCAACCCCACCACGCGCTGCCCAGTGCGCGGGCCAAAATCCTCATGGTCTGGGGTAGCCGCATGGTACACACTGCGATTGTCCCAGATGGCTGTGCATGTGAATCTCGTTAGCCACTTCCCTACTTTACACATCAAAGAAAGGATCCGAGGGCAGCAACTTACCCAAATCATTCGGATTCTGCCACCGCAACCGAACCTGGAGGTCATGGTTCTCGACAATCAACTGCACAAACCAGTCCAGCAGATGGCGACTCTCCTCCTCGGTCAGCCCATCTATCTTTTGCACATGGTGACCCACGGCAAAGACACTCTTCCATCCCGTCACTGGGTTGGTGCGGATCACCGGGTGGGTGGCTTGCAGGACCTCGCCGACGTTCTCGGGGGCGCCCCGCGGACCGACGAACACATCGAACCCGTTGTTCTTGGCGATCTCGTTGAATCCGGGTTGCGCGTAGGTGGCTGTGAGTCCCTCGAGGAACCTCTGGTAGGGCTCGGAAATGCGGTCGTACAGCTCGTAGCCGGAGGCCCACAGGGTGTCTGTCACGTTGTGGTCAGTATCGGAGTTCAACTCTTCAGGGTCAGGGCTAGGGCTCGGCTTTGCTCACCCCCGCCCGTCGTCGGCAACTCCGTCAGCCGCAAGATCGTATAGTCGCTGGGAATCGGCTCGAAGGTGATATCACTGTGCCACTCGCGCTTGTTGCTCTGGCGCTTCTCGAACCCCTTGAAGAGCTTCTGCCGCGCCCGTGAGCTGATCACGCTGATCTCGTTGTCCTTGTCGCCGTGTTCCCGGTCTGCGTTGATGATCGGGTGGACGTGCAGGCCCGAGGTGGAGGGCTTGCCAGATAGTTGGCCCAGGCGCTGCACGAGTTCCTTTTGGAGGTCGTTGTCGAGGTCGTCTTGTTTGCGGAAGAAGACCACGCCGCGCTGGGAGACTATTCCATTTTCAGGTCAGTAAGTCGTTCATAAAGGGCTTCAACGATGCGAGGATCCTGTACCGGTGAGGGCGAGGTCTCGCAAGAGATCATCAGAGTTGGGGGCACGCAGCCACTCTTTCAGGCTCGCATTGCTGAACTCGCGACCGATGATGGGAGTCACGTCGAAGGAGTCGTAGGCGTCGAGTGCGCCGGTCGCTTGGACAGGCTCTCTTTGCGATGCCTTCGTGGGAATAGGAACGACATGGGCGGCCGCTTCGGTCAGTGATGGGGCCATGATAGAAGAACGATTTTTTTTCTTTTGGCTCAGATGTAATCAGGTTGATTGACTGAGTTGAGTATATTTCCATGAGATGAGGACGGCATGGTTTCTTATATACCAATTCCCCGTCAAACCTTATCTGCTAAACATGCCGCTGTTGTCGGTATATTGCCTACAAACTCCGGGGCATAACACATGTACCCCGCACAGAATCCGTATAGCGCTACATCATCACAACATGCTTATCAGCTTGGCTTTGTGTGACATTGCTAATACTAGATTCTGAGTTGCCGAAGGCGACGTGATTGAAGCTGCGGATAATGCCATATTCCGCCATGCACGGCTTATCGCCGACCTCCGGTGAGCCCATACGAGGGGTCAGTCACGCAAATGCCGGTCTCGATGCAGGTATATGTAAGCCGATCGACCAAGGATAGTACTCCCTTTGTTATCCTCGGTTAACTTCCATATACAATTATATGTGCCATGTCCGACTCATTTTCCGGTTGTTGCTGGTCTGGCTTAACTTCCTTATTCCGCAGATGTCGACAATTACAATAGTCTACTATCCATAGCCGTAATATTCTTTTCCTTGCGCAGCGTGTCAGCCTAGGAAGGTGTTTGAACGAATTACCCTTAATTTTTCTTATGCTACTGCAACTTTTCTACAAAAAAAGAATAAAAAAGCACCAACAAAACACCATTTACCAGATTTTGTGTACCACTAATAATTCAGTCGCAGGAAATAACAATCGACGCGCTTTGAATAGTGTATTCGACTTATAAGCCGAATCAACATGCCTTGTTATCCTAAGTATGATTGCCTCTTTCGATTTCTCTGACCTCACTCCACAGAGCCCAACAATGCCCCGACTGTAGACCTTTTTATTCTTTCTCTTAATGGCACAGGCGTGAGTATCAGAATCAAATATTCTAGTGCAGTGTACTAATCTTGTCTATAGATTGTTGTGCTTGAACTATACTTCACCACCTCTTAGCCTTTCTCCTCCCCATTGATGATGCTTTCCAGCCCATCAGGCCAGGCGAAGATAGGTTGCGGGGGTGTGTTCATTGAAGCAGTAGCCACCACAAGCAATTGAAATCAAGATCGCGGGCTACAAATACTCAACCAGGTGTCGAGTCGATTGTCAGGAAAGGTTTAGGCCTGAAGTATTTCACCGAAGCTCCTTTCTTCGCCCATAATCCCGCTCGGGCCTGAGCGCACCCTAAAATGCCTATTTAGGGCTCCTGTCATGTGTTAAGGAATTTGCAGTCAGCTGACCATCATCACTTACAAGCACGCGTTTCAGAATACAGCCTTATTAAAGGGATGAGTACACTACCATTGGCTCGAAGTCAAAGCCTATATCATCTCGTCAATTAAGATGACTTGAAAACACCCGTGACTCTATTCTAGTTCGCTCCGAGCTTAACGTCGAGTTCTTCGACCGGCTTTGCGGCAGTATTGAGTTGAATCCACACCTATTAATGTGATATGAACCTACTGTAGGTACTACTCCATATATTCATTGGTTTGATGGGTTAGATTTCTCCATCCTAGGTGGACTGGCTTCTAGAGGAATTCACTGTTGGCCGAGGCCCCTTCGAATGGCAGCGCAATCATACAACATTTCATAAGCTCGCCTGACGGCCGGTTAGCCAGCCAGCCAGCTTTGCCGAGATGTCAGATTTTAGCTTCCTCCGACTGCTATAAGAACGAGCGTATTGCTCTGCAGAAAGAACTTGGAAACATCCATCCTCCCCTCACTGCTTAATATCACACCACATACTATTCTACCGGTCGCCTTCCGACCCCCAAGAATTCATAATGACGACCCCCAACCGCGGGATTTCTCTCCACATCACCATCCACATCGACCCGGAAAACCTGCCTAAGTTCTGGGAAGCTTTCCAATCAGTGTACGAAAATGTCATCGCCGAGCCCGAGTGTACGTTTTTCGAGGTCTATCAGTCGCCGGAGGAGCCGGGTACTTTATCCTGGGTTGAGAATTGGTATGTCCTCTTTCTCTTGCCTTCAGGTGTCCGGACTTCTCGGGCGCCGCAATATTCCTGAGCATGAAAGTTACTCACTCGTCTGCAGGTCACAAACTCCCGAATGGCTCTTTGGGGTAAAGCTCTAATCTCCCGCCGGGTGAAATGGCTACGTTGCTGACATTCCTACAGGTCCAAATACAGAAGCCCTACTACAAGGATTACCTAGCCATCACTGAGCCGATGTTCATCAAGCCCCGCGAAGCAAAGATTCTCAACCGAGTCGGGGCGCCTTATCTAATGATCAAGTCTACGAATCATGTTTAGATATTTATGAAATGGATGCGTGCCCCGGCATTTAGGCCAAGGGCTCTATATTTTCTGTTGCCTTTTTTGGTTTCGTATTTCTTCTCGAAGGTGGGTTTCATCTTCTGCGGCAAAGAAAAAGACAAGAGCACAATGTGAGAAGGGAGAACGATTCTTAATGAACATCCTTTGCGCACATAGCCAGCGGTACCTCAACCATCAAGGTCCAGCATAATGAAAGACGCTACATCGAACGTAGCACTCCCAGCCGCGATCTCGCGCAGGTACGCGTCGGCCAACTCGAGCGTAATCTCGTCTTCCGGTGCATCGCCATCCACCTGACCATCATCATCTCCATTCTCTGTATGACCATCCACTTTCCCGCTCTGTGACCACGGCTTGAGGAACGCTTTAACCTCCCTCAACAACGTTGCGACGAACTGGCCATCCCGCGAATGGGCATGCCTGGTTTGGCTCTGCTCAACCAGCTCCCGTCCCATGACCTTCTCAATCGCCCGCTTCAGCCCCGGCGTCCCGGGCACCAACAGGTCCCAACAAAGTCGCAGCTCGTCGCCGACAACGACCGCTCCAGCAACTGGAATGAGGAGTTCACCCGTGGTATGGCGCGGCAAGTAGCAGCGCAAAATCTTGCCGCAGAGGGTTCGCAATACCTTCTGAGGGTCTGTCGTTGCTGCTTGGGGGCAGGCGACCGGGGCGGCAATCAAGGTTGTAAAGAGAGGCTTGCCTTTAGCGTCAGAGACCCTGAGCACTCGGTAGAAAATGGGAGTTTCGCAGCCTTTGGCGGAAGGGGAAGTCGGTATGATTGTCGTGCCGGCAAGTTGAAAGCCTTCTTCTGCGGAGAAGCACTCGGCCAGGAAAAGAACCCACATGTCTGAGAGGGTTTCGATTTGTGATGTGGCCATGTTAGCGGAGCCTTTTCATCGGTAGATTGTTGCTGTATGCTGGCTGATTTAGGTCCTGGGGGAGATATAGTGTTGATTTCTGGTGGCTTAGGTCTGTCAGGGTTGTGTTCTAGGGATAGAAGTGCCTTGTAAAGCGGATAGGACTTGGGGATCAGGGGCATCATTTATAGCCTACCCAGTTCTACATCATTGCGTCGACACTGAGTCTGTGAGAAATATTTTCTGGGATGTTTTAGTGATATCTCCCGGTCAAGTGGGACAATCCCCTTCACATGGCTGTCGAGACAAAGAAACCCGGCTGAGCTTTCCACTGCTGAAAGCCCATCACCCTATGTTCTCCGCAATGAAGAGGAGAATACCCGCAGGATCACAGAAAATCTCCTATCCTTTTTATGCACCGGCCTCGAACGAAAGAAAAAATATGTTTTCAGCCATGCCTACAATCACTTCAGCTGGAATTCAGCAATGTCTCAAAGAATTGCATTGTCCTCCTTATTCATTCGATTCCAGTTTTTCATGATTCGTCCAAGAGTCCAGCTGGTGTCAAGGAAGACCTCGGCGCCACCATCTCCGCAAACTTCTTCATCGGCATCGGCGATGAAATTCCCATAGCCTGGACATTCGAGTATCGATGCCTGCTAATTGACTTGGGCAATTCCACTGCAATGAAAGAGTCCGTTCCCAGATCGTAGCGACATCACTTGGTCATCACGTCAGGTCCCTCTCACCAGCATAGACCCTATGAGGGGTAGAAAGCGTCGTCTAATAATCTGCGGGACGGTAGTGCAATGCGTTACACTAAGAATTATCTTCCTCATATGCATCCCCACCTGCATGGGTAACAAATTGTCTTCCCATCCCGACCGTCCCCGAATCAAAGCACGGTTATGTCGGTAATAGGCCGATTCGGACTAATCACAACCAAGCTGGATGCCTCTTTGAGAAGGTTGACGTGCATTTCTCGTTAATACCGAGCCAGCTTCGACAAGTTAGACGCTGACTATAGAAGGTTGCTGTTTTTCGTGGTACATGACCGTACGCGACCCGCAGAGCCCTAATCCGATCGAATGCCCCGGTCCCGCGTCCAGTCGAGGTCCGAGTATCCGCGGGTCGATTTGACATGCCTCTTAAATCCCTCGGGGACGTCAATGACCTGCTGGATGTGCTCATAGGTCAGGGTGGTCTGGCGAAAGTGCGCCAGCTGCAGGGCGGTGCGCACCATGTTGCGGATCTTTTGCCCGTTGAGGGCCCTAGCTGCCAGCTCGGGCAGGTAGCCCTTGAGATCATCGATCAGGTTCTCTGGGTTCGTCTTGCTGAGGCCGTTGATGAAGTTGAGCCAGATCTCGAAGCGGCCCTGCTCGTTCAGCGCGGGGTAGTGCCCTGCGAACTGGAAGCGCGACTTGAATGCGCTGTCAAACGTCCCGATGCGGTTGGAGGTGAGAATCAGGATGCCGTCGTAGTACTCGAGGACGCGCAGGAAGACGGAGACCAGGGCGTTCTGCTGCAGGTCCGTCTCGCGCCGCTCCTCGAGGACGACATCGGCCTCGTCTAGCAACACGACACAACCCCAGATGGTGCCGATCAGCAGCACCGACTCTAAGTACTTCTCCACCTCGTCCGCATTAGTACCGATGTCGCCACAGGTCACCCCCCTCTCCCGCCCTTCGACGCCTTTATCCTATGGAGACTCACGGTAGGGATGCTGAGAATGGCGTTTGGGGGCTCATAGGCCGCAAATCGCGCATGGCGACATTTCCCAAATAAATGCCCCCTAGCCTTGAGTTGTTTGGTTGATTCCTGGGAGGCGTATTTTGGCGGATAGATGGGCAGGTCTGATATGGGGATGGGCTGATCTGCTGGCACAGCAGACGGCCAGCTCAGTGACCGAGTCTCCCTTTGCTTGAAGAACACCCCATTGAATTTTTCCAAGACCACAAGTCCAACGATATGGGTGGCTTGTTGATGGGGGCACTCTCCACTTGGCAGATCCAGACAAGGCTAATTCCGCTAAGTCCACAAATCCCGCCCGATCTCCACTATTGCTGACTTTAGGTCCGCGCCGGATAAGCCGTAGCTATTTCTCTTTAAGCAATCTTTAAGTACCCCAACCGCCACGGTCGGATTTTGAGAATCCGGAGACTTGAACATCAGATTTTTATCCATTTCTCAAACAACCAGAGGTTCCTGAGTCAGGCTTCCGTCTTACCAGCGACAATGACCCTCAAAGCAATCGTGTTCGGTGGAAACGGCAAGATCGGCCGTTTAATCACGAGGTATATGCTGGAGCGCTCGTGGCACGTTACAAGTGTTGTCAGAAACTCTAGGCAGAGCGCCGAAATCTTGCAACTTGGAGATGGCCTCGCAAACCGCCCTGATGTGGTTGTTTGTGACCTTCTGAGTCTTTCTGAAACAATAGCTGGGGAAATCTTCCAGGGAGTCAAACCGGACTGCGTTGTTTTCACCGCAAGTGTGTTCTCACCCCCTTATTATTATGCTGTACTTCCAGTTGACCTCGAAATAGGCGATTCTGCGAACTATGAAGCTATCGATTGCAACGCTGCCAAGATGCTCATCAAGGTCTCCGCGGGACACACAAGCGTGAGAAAATTCTTGGTTATATCATTTCCTGCTAGTCGTCGGAAGCGGGCACCCTGGTGGAATGATAAGGAGTGGGCGGATCATCTGAAAGAGAAAAAGATGTTTCCTGTCGCCGCCCAGATGAAGGTGCAAACGGATGAATATTTGCTATCAGTGGCAAATGCTAAGCAGGCAAAGGGGCAGCATTTCCAAGGCATCTCCCTGAGGCCGACGTGGTTCGTTAGCAAGCCTCCGACGGGCAAAATCACGTTGGGACACACCACAGCATTAGGTCAAATTGCCGCCGGCGACGTAGCCTTGACAGCTATCAGTCTTCTATCAAGGAATGACACTAATGGATGGTTTGATGTCAACAAAGGGTCCAAAGATATTGAGGAGGCTGTGGAAGAGGCAGTGCGCAAAAGCTTGGATTCCTCTCAAGGGGAAGACCTTGATCGCATCTATGAGTTAGCGCGAGACGACGTATGATGCGATGTGTGCACTTCAGCTGCTAGTAACTCTTTAGTCAAATCAGCAGTACAGTCAAGTAGAAATCGCAGCTTTCAGTTGACTTCATATTGCTCATAGTGATAACCCGCCGCGGCGTAAAGGTTATTCGTGTCATCCTTCAAGATGCAAAGGCTCAGACCCAGCATTCTTGATTGGCGCCATACGATCTAGGAAGTCGGATAATTATCCGCATGCTCTCTGTCGCTAGAGATGTGTACAGTCTCTGCTTCGAATAACATAGCAGAATATAGGGCCTTCATGATCTCTTGATCCATCAGCAAGCTTTCTGGGTTGCATTTTCTTTATGGTGGCCCATTTGTGGCGACAGAATCGAAGCCTTGCATTCTGGATTTTTAGGAAGATAGTGGTAGGCTCTCTTTGCTTGGAGATCGTTTTGCTGACGCGCTAGCCTAAATAGACATCATGAGGGGATCGGAAGCCGTTGATCAGGTCGGCAGGAAGGATCGGAGAACGATGAGGATAATAACAAGTTAAATCCCGTGCCAGCTGACGTCAAGACCATCACTAGTATACACAATAATTTGAATATATAATTGGCTGTTTCACCTGGGATTCAAATGCATGAAAAACTTCACGTAAAAAAAATCCCTTACACCGTCTAGTCTTATCTCGTCGTCCGCGATGTCTGAATCAACCCCAAAGTTCGAAGGATGGATGGGCCTCGACAGAGAATCGGCTCGGGGCCAAATGGTTTGGCAATCTTTTAAGCCAAAAACATGGGAAGAATCAGACGTAGATATTCGCATCAGTCACTGTAGTGTCTGTGCTTCTGATAATTGTGTCTTACGAAGCGGCTGGGTAAGTTCCGTTACATGGCCATGATTCTTGGCTAGTCTGCTCACGTACTCGGATAGCGTCCAACTCCATACCCTTGTTGCGTCGGCCACGAAATTGTTAGCATTGTTGTTGGAGTCGGATCGCAAGTGAAAGGACTTGAAATCGGCGACCGCGTGGGTGTCGGCCCCCAGAGTGACTCATGCCGCGGTCGTGTGGACGGCCATTGTGTGCAATGCAGTACCGGAAATGAGAAGTACTGTACCAAGTTGTGGACAGGTACATATGCAGGTCGTTATCTAGACGGGAGCATGTCCTATGGCGGATATGCGCTCCACAATCGGGTGCCTTCCCACTTTGCAGTCAAAATCCCAGAAGCGCTCTGGGCCATTCCCATCCGAATTTTAGTAACCCATGATATCAATGCAAGGCTGTTCCTCATCATAATCATCTGCAGCCAAAATCAATCGATCGCGCACTCTAGGATGAGGGAAGAAGTCCAACCAAGGGTGATGTGGCACAGCACGCTGTATGGCAGTTGGCTGCAGGTAGTTTGGGGTGGCTCGATCGGAAACCTTTGGCTGAAATGTGCAAAATGGAGACACTACATCAGCGTGCATCCATCCTTTGACATCCATACCAAGCGCATTCATGTCCTCAGCGAATGCACGGTATACATTAACTTTGACCATTTAATGATCATTGAGTGTGCCCCATGTTCTGGTCAAGCCAATAACAAAGGCTTAGAATAAGCTTGTTGGTTAACACAATTCTGCAATCCTACGCCTCTCGGCCCTTATGTCCCGGTGCAGTAGCTCATGCACACCACTGCCTTCTCTTGTTGTTTGTACATGAGCTTGTTGGGCACCATTTGCTGACATAGTGTAGTGGCGGTGGGTCAGATATCGGTGAATCTAGCTAGGAAGTGGGTTGAACAGAGAACAAGAGAAGGCAGTTGACAGCCACCGTGCGCAGCCAACGCAACCATTAAATAGCGGCCCTAGTGGCTACGGTCGCTTATGGCGCTAGCCGGAAGCGGTAAGCACCGAGTGACGGGCGGAATTTCCGGTCTGAACTTTTGAGGCATCGTAACCATTTATGCCAGGGCTCAGCATCACCGCTGGGACCATGCTATCTCTGTTACTTCATGCCAAGGCGGTCAAATTTGACCGTCGGATTGGGGGTCTTACCCCGCCTGCGTCTGATGATAACAATCCAATATAAAAACTACGTCCTGCACAGGTTGTTGTCATCCTGGTCAAGGCTTGAAATACTTTCCTCGGTCGTCTACTCACACTTTCAAAATTCCTGTTGATGTCGTCTTTGTTTAGCTATGAATTATACAAGTTTACTTCCGACAACTACTGCCCTCATGCGGGGCGTGGTCTGGACGGGAACGCCTTTCAATGTCAGTGTCGTTGACCTGCCTGTTCCACTCCTTCAGTCAGCTACAGACGCAATTGTAAGGGTCTCAGTCGCAGGCATTTGTGGTACAGATCTGCATACCTATCGTGGTCATTATGGGAGTGCGACAGTCCCGTGGGCCATGGGTCATGAGGCTCTCGGCTTCATCACTGACCTTGGCGATGCTGTTAGCAATTTCCGGATAGGAGATCGAGTAGTGATCTCGGACACTGTTCATAATGTGCAGGTGGTCACAGAATCTTCTACATCTTCTCCTTTTGGCATGGGACCTGATCGGGGAAATCTGGGCGGCTGTCAGAGTAAGCTCTTCTTTCCAAACCTCAATTACTTCTGTTAATTATTTCCCGCCCAGGCGAGTATGTGAGGGTTCCTTTTGCCGAGCAAAACTTAATTCCTATTCCCTCGAACACTTCTAGTCCGTCAGACAGTGATATCGACTATCTCTTTTTATCTGATATCTTCGCTACTGGCTGGGGTGCCCTTGATTTAGCTGGTTTTGAACCAGGTGACACTGTCGCAGTCTTCGGTGCTGGCCCTGTGGGCCTACTATCGGCGTATTCAGCGGTGCTCCGTGGGGCATCCAAGGTGTACGTCGTGGATTACGTGCCTGAACGGCTTGAGTTGGCTCGTTCTATAGGTGTTGTGCCAGTGAACTTTTTGATATCGGACCCTGTAGAGCATATTCTTGCTCAGGAACCGAACGGCGTCATTCGCAGTGTGGACTGTGTTGGATTCGAAGCAGTTAATAAAACGCTACAGATGGAATCTGACATCATCATTCGCCAGATGGTCAATGTGACTGCAAGAAATGGTGGAATAGGTGGTGTCGGTATTTACGCGGATGTGCATAACAGCACAGGGGTTCCACGAGGAAGCTCTGTCATGAATGATATCAGCTTCCCTGTTGGTACATTCTTCTCGAAAAGTCTTCAGTATAAAGTCAGTGCTATCTATCCTCCAGACTACGCTACCACACTATTGCCACTGATAAACAGTGGTCTCGCCAAGCCGAGGTTTGTTGTCAGCTCACTAGTCAGCATCGAGGACGCACCACAGGCTTATGCACGATTCAATGAGCACCAGGAAACTAAGGTTGTCATTCGTTTCGAGTGGTCTTAAGCAGGGTTTCACGCTCCGTCGCACTTTTATAGGGTATTGAGGAGGCCTTAAGAGTATGGATTGCTCGATGCACTATCCGTGATTTATGATATCAGCTCATGTACATGATTTCCGTGGCCTGATAATTCCTACTTTATAGAGGACATTCCTGCTGTTACAAGAGAGCCTTGATTGATTTGTGACAGGCTCCATACATGACCTAAGCTTTCGAGATCTATTATTTACACGGCGGTGAAATCAGCCTATCTACATTTTCGTACTCGGCTTTATTCTGCGATTCCATGTACTCCAGCAGAACATTGGGGTGGCGCAGTTGGGCTTGCGTCGGCATGTCCAAATAGTCCTCCTCCCGGCTGATGTAGTAGAGGCGGTCTTTCATCGTGTCGAGATTCCTGACTATGCCATGAGGCGCGCTGTCGTCGGAGTTCATCCCAGTCACTTTCCAGGGGCCTACTGAAGGGTCTCGGAGATCAGCTCCATGGTTTCCGACACGATGTCGGCCAAAGGGCTTTGATTTCGGAGAATAGAAAAGTAGGGCTGGACCGATGTGGGGATCTCGGGGTCATTGGGCATCGGCAGAGGATGGAACGAGCTCTGGATTGCGTCGACGTGTTCATCGCAACCAACGCATTTCTTGACCACGAAGACCACATGGTCCTTTCGCTCGAGGTACTCGTCAATATCTGGAACCGCCAACCGGCCCCTTAAGGCGCTCATTTGACTGTCGCCTTTGAATAAACTCGGATGATCGAGATACACCGCCGGTTTCTTGTGCATCTTATGAGTGTCCTTCCCCGAGCAGGTGACATGATATAACACAAGATACTGTTGATCCTTCTGTGTGTCTTTTTGGACTTTTATGGCTTTTCTGGCTTGCGCTTCACTGAGCTGGACCGTCTGCCTTCGAATGAGTCTTTTTCTTCCTCTTCTAGATAATTTCCGCTGGCATCATGGGCGGGGAAATAGGCGAGAACGTCGTCGGAGAGATGGCTGGATGCCGGACTGATACAAGGTCTTCACGGCATTCCTTACTTCCTTTCTTTTCCTCAATTTCGTCTCCAACGCAGGCATTAGCGGAGACCATGAAGAGGATTGGTGAATGGGTGAAAGTCACTGTGAAGGTCTGTGATGATGTGTTGATGGGGTTGTTAACTTACCCCGCACTGCTCAATGTGGCTGTGGCTGAGCGTCGAGATCATCATGTAAATAAACCCACGATGTCACACCAATTCACAGAATAGACAGATGATAGAAGCCTGAGCACAAAGTAACAGGTCATGTCAACTCCTCTCCTCAGATGCCGGCACGCCGTGACTATCGCAACAGGTGCGGCCGTATTACACCCGCGGCCCGGTTGACCGGATCGTGAGCCCCGGGTTTTCTACGGCCTAATCGCCTCGGCCAAGAAAGGCATTATAGATGCCAGAGTAAGATACTGAATCGCCCAAGATCATGGTATTTTCTGTTTTGAAATGGAAGCCGCACTGTGAGAGTCGCCTTCTTGTCATGGAGAACCTGGAAATTATGCCTTGCCTTGTCGGACGCAGCGGGTGGTAATTCACCACTTACAGGTGCCTTTCGCGATCTTGGACGTGACGATCGATCTCGACGGTCGTCGATAGGAGAGTTTCCTTCCCCCTCTTCCTCCTTCCTCGGTCGGCCTGGGATTTTCTAGGTATTCTCCCACACGATACGGAGTAAGGAGAAGGAAGAGAAGCCGGCGCTTAAGAGCCACCAATACTGAATAGCTTAGCTGCAGTAGCTGGCTGCCCAACCAGAATTTATCGCGGCGCGCTCACGCAAACATCGGGCCCCTTTTATTTGGAACCACCTGCATGCGATCAATGATGGTCACAGCATCGTGCTTTGGAATCCCGTTGCCCACGAAGCATATCATATCCCGCTTCCCGAGCACGTCTCCTTGATATGCAGGATTACCAACCTGACCTCAAGACCCTGTTTATTTTCTGGATAATGTACAGCGCTAACCTACGTGAAAGTTCAAGTGTTTCTCACAATGGCATCTATACAGGGAAAATTCCTTCTCTGTTCATCCTTATTAATCTTTGTATCGAAACACAATGGCTCAAACCCGGGGACGATACTCCTTCTTCAACGGCGCAATCCCCAAGCGGATATTATAGGACTCGGGCTCGAAGGACCCAAAGTCATACACCATGTAAAAGTTCTGCATCCAGTGCTGCCCGAAGATTGTGTTGAAGCTGTTCCAGGCGTTGAACGGGGGGAAGCAGTGCTCGTCGTCCTGGTATCCGGGCACCGCCAACTGGTCCCCGGTGAGGGTGAAGGTGGGTGCCTCGCCGTAGAAGCCGATCGTGAAGGAGACAGACCAGGTCTCGTTGAACTCGGAACACAGGGGCCGGTACCCGTTGAGGAGATCTGCGTACTTGAACGGGGTCATTGCGTAGACCTCGTCGATGTATTGTTCGGAGATTTCGATCGCTGAAGCTCCTTTACATTGAGATCCGATGGTCAGCTGAGGTCCCTGTCCCTTGCGTTGGAGTGCTTCTTACCAGTATCGAAAATGGCAGTGCCGTACCAGTTGAGCAGCTCAGTGGACTGATTCTTGCCGTCGCTGGCGGTGTTGTGGCCCTGCATGCCGTACAGCCCCGTCTTGAAGATCTCAAAGGGCGACTCGGTCTGGAGCCACTGCAGCTCGCCATCGGCGTACACGTCCTCATGACTTCCGCCCAGGGTGAAGACACCGTTGTTCTCGGGATTAGGGTCGGAGGTGGTGGAGACGCCCTTGCCCGCGTAGATGGCGAACCGGGGCTGGTCCAGCAGGCCGTCCTGCATCATCTGCTCAAAGGGGGCGGTCGCGTTATTGATCGCAATCGTCGAGGAGCCGAGACCGAGGAACCCGTCGGCGCCCAGCGCAGCCCAGGTGCTCTCGGTGGCGACGAGAAAAGACTGGCGATAGGAGACGTTGGTTCCGGGGAGGCTGAGGATGTCGGACGCGCTGTAGCCCTCGACGGTACCTCCGCTGTACTCGATGGATCCATTGAGACCGAGGCTTCTGCCTGTAGATGTGAGGTTGTACTTGTGGCGGGGGTATCTTGCAGTCGGTGTGAGCTTCAATAATCAAATGGTTGCTAAATAAGTATAACTATACCCGCTCCCGTTGGGACACTTGTCGTCGGTACACTGGCCGTCCAACACCCAGAGATCCGTTGAGCCGGTGTCATAGAGCAGATTATAAGGGCCACCGGGGGTGCCCAGGTCTACCTCAATGGTTCTCTGTATAAGGGTCAGGAGCAGGGAACGTTTTTATCACCTGAGCAGGAACTTACGTAGCCATCGCGGACCTTGATATCGAGGTCGATAACACTGCCTACAGCAGCGGTCGCCAGCACGGGTGCAAGGAGAAGGGATCGCAAGGCCATGTTGAAATATTTGTACGTCCACGCTGGTATTTGGTACGCCTTTTTGAAAGTGTAGATCTTTTCTGGCCTTTAAATAGGGCATCAGGGGCGGCAGTCCCGGAGTTCCCGATGCCAAGTCTTCTAGAATAATGTGAGACAATCGGCGGGTGGTGGAGATCCCAGACCTTGAAGGACAAATTAGCTACTCTGTTGAGAATGGAATTGAAACCGCTTGTCTCATTGTTCTATTTCTGTGCCTTGCGAACCCACTTCCCTGCCCTGCTTAAGTCTTTGCCTCGGTCAAGCACAGCATTAGTGAATGCTTGTCATCCCTTTCTTCAAGTAACAAGCTTCGGTGCTCGAGGTGACGTATTGTCATTGGGGACAGTTCGATTAGGTTTTAAGTTAGTGTCAGAGGATGTATTTACAACCTTCGTTTGGCTCCGTAATCGGAGTTAGTCTTTCTAACCTGAGGTGTGGTAAGCCTCAGCTACTTGAGTGGACACCTCAGGGAAGCAAGATCGCATAGCATAAAGAATTCCATATCGTCGGCATGGATACCACGCAGTGCTAGAGTCACCAATTATCAATCGTTATCAAGTGGTTGATCACAGTCAAAAGATCTGAAGTCCGGGTTTGTAAACCCATCGGAAACTCAGTTCCGTTGATGCGGGGAAATTGCTCGGTTTAAAAAACGCTACTCACCACCACCCATGGACAACAGAAACCAACCATCGTCATATACTCCCTACCCACCGGTCACAATGTTGACAAACAAGCAAGCCATCGGCTCCAAGTCCCTGGGCCAGCATCCCAGTCACACCCTCGACCAAAAGATCCGGGCCGCCTCACGGCACGGCTTTACTGGCATCGAAGTTGTGCACTCCGATCTCGCCGACTTTGCACAACACCTCAACATCTCCATCCACGAAGCAGCCAAAGTAACAAAAGATCTCTGCGCTGAGTACCGAGTCGAAATCATCTCCCTGGCGCCCTTCGAAAATTTTGAGGGTGGCAGCTTGCCCTTGTCCGAGCGACTCGCCACCGCTGAGCACTGGTTGCAGCTGGCGCGTACCCTCCAGGCAACCTACCTTCAAGTCCCGTCATACTACAACCCGGACGGCAGCACGGACGAGAAGGCGGTTGTATCTGATCTACAGCATCTGGCGGACCTCGCCGGCGCCGAGGAGCCGGTCATGTCCGTTGCGTATGAGTACCTCTCGTGGGGGGTCTTCTGTTCCACATGGGAGACTGCCCTTCGCATCGTGAACGCGGTCGACCGTCCGAACTTTGGCTTGTGCCTCGATAACTTCCACGAGCATACCAAGCTATGGGGTAGTAATGTGGACAGGTCGGGCAAGCTCCCGACGGGCGATCAGGATCTGAAAGCGTCTCTGAAGCGGTTTAGTGAGCAGTGCCCGCTGGAGAAGATCTTCTATGTGCAACTGTCCGATGCGGAGCGCTTCAACCCGCCGCTGTCGGAGACGCACCCGTGGTACCTGCAAGGTGAAGCCTCTCAATTCACCTGGTCGAAGCATGCGAGACCTTTTCCCATGGAGGCGGAGCTGGGTGGTTATCTTCCTATCTTAGAGACCGTCAAGACGTGGGTTGTGGATAAGGGATTCAACGGTTGGGTTTCGATGGAGGTGTTTGACTGGCGGATGCGCGGCGCGGAGCACAAGCCGGAGGATGCAGCCAGACGGGCAAGAGTGTCTTGGGAGAAGATCCAGCGGGGACTATCGGGGAAGACTCAAGAGGGGCCCATCAAGGCACATTATTAGAGGCGGACGTCTCTTCTAGCGTTCAATGTTAAATGAGTTAGATGCATGGATTTCTCCATAGTAAAGAGCTTGTTTCTTCTCGCGCTTGTCCCGAATAGGCATCTTCGGCCGTGAACCGCGGGAATAGTGCACGTGAGTCGGTCCTATGGGTTTCGGCCGCGTCACCGGAATGCTTCATCTCCGACCTCTCTCTCTCTCCCTCCTCGCCTCCCTTTTCACACCACTGCACTCCTATCAGACTGCTCGAATCAACCTCGTATCGCGCCCCTGTCATCCCCTAGCTCCATCACAATGGTCATTGAGGCCCCCAAACCACCTACACTGCGCCGATCCTGCCAAGCCTGCGCCCGTGGCAAACGGCGCTGCGACCAGCGCTGGCCGCGCTGCAGCCGCTGCCAGGCCCGCCGGATCGACTGCGAGTACGTCAACGTGCCATTGACAGTCAACGCCTCCTCTTCCGCCTCTAGCCTTGCCAAAGCACGAAGTCTCGTTCACACCACCACTCCCTCCTCCTCGATAACACAAGCCAACATTTCCCGCCCCCGCAAACCGAGACCATCCACCACTACCACCCCAACGATCCCCCCACCCCTGCCCCCCCTGGAGATCACCAAAGGCTACTCGCCCACCGTGATCTCCTTCCTCATCTCCGGCATGCGCCAATACCCCCTCACCTTCGCCTCCTCCCTCAAAACCCATTTCATCCACCCGGACCTCTGGCCGAGCGCCTCCACCCCACCCCCACCCCTGCAAGACATCTACAGCCTGTGTAAACACTACTCCACCTTCCTCTTCAGTCCCAGCAACCCCCAGCGCAAAGAGATCCAGTCCCTGCTGCACCAGAAATCCCGGTCCCTGCACCGCCACCTCGCGCGCGCCTCCACCTTCCCCGACCTGCTCGCCAGCGCCCAAGCCCTCCTCCTCATTCAGTGCATCCTCCTCCTGTCCCCGCCCCTCGATCCGTCCGACCCGACCGAGACCCACCAGCAGGACACCGAATACCAGGAATCCATCAGCGAGATGCTCCTGAACCTCGGGCATCGGCTGTGGGTCCAGGCCCCCGTGCAGCTGCCGGCGACGCTCAGCCCGCGCCGCGCGTGGCTGTTCGCCGAGAGCGTGCGCCGCACGATCATCGTCGGGTTTATGCTGCGCAGCGTGTACTCGCTGCGGACGCGGAACTACTCTGTGCGCACGCCTTTCGTGGACGCGTTGCCGTTCGATATGCGGACGGGGCTGTGGGATGCGGCGGACGAGGAGCCGGGGATCGATACTGGGTTTGGGGGAGGGAACGAGCTGTGGGGGTCCAGTGAGGGGGCGATGGTCTCGTTGCACGGGTACTCGGGCATGTTAGAGCAAGGACAGGTGCATGGGATTGGGGCGTTTGCGGGTTTGATCCTCGCGGCGTGTCGCGGGAAGCGGGTTGCGGATGTCGCCAGGGGGTTTCCTACGCCGCCTCCTGCTTCTTTGGTCGTGCAGGTGTGAGCCTTTTTTTAGGGATGGAGTACAAACAAAGAATGATTTACGCGGGCAAGGTACGTCATAGAACTTTAAACAAAACAATTCAATCTCTATCTCTATATGCAACACAAAAAGAACATCACATTTCATCCATCATAGACTGACTTCATCCGATTCAGCAAGTACTTACTCGCGCAAGAACTGCTTCAGTAGACCCGACAACAACTCAGTCATCCCCTTGTACAGCTCCTGGCGCTTAACTTCGAAGGCCTGGAAGATGTCGGCGGCGGAGCCGACGGGGATCTGGTTCTCACCCTTCGCCAAACGGGCCCAGACCTCGTCCACGAACTCCTGCAGCGGCATGCCGATGAGGTGACCGTCTTTGAGGTCGGGCTGGTGCTTGGCGTCGTGCAGCTCCGTCTGCACCGCGGGCGGGTAGATCTCCAGCACGCGGACGTCGCCCTGGGCGCCCTCGCTCAGCTGCGTGCGCAGCGCCAGGATGAAGTGGTGCAGCGCCGCCTTGGACGCGCCGTAGTTCGGGCACCGCATCATGGGCACCAGCGCCATCTGCGAGGTCGTGTAGACCAGCGCCGTCTGGCGCGGCAGCTGCTGCAGGTGCGGCAGGAATGCCTTGGTCAGCCGCACCGCCGACGTGTAGTTGGTGATCAGCTCCTGGTCGAAGATGTCCAGGTCCACGGTCTCCGGGCGTGCGAAGTCGAACGGTCGCTGGATGCCGCTGTTCACGAAGATGCAGTCCAGGTCTGGGTGGGCGGTCGTGATGCTGGCGGCGAACTCGGGGATCTGTTTGGGACCTAGGGTTAGTGGGGGCGTTTTTTGGGGGGTTAGGGTTAGGAGGGCTCTGACCTTCTCGAGCTGCATCACGTCGAACACGGCGGAGTCGACCTTGTCGCTGCCGTGCTGGGCGACGAACGCATCCAGGTTCTCCTTGCGGCGGCCAGCGACCACCACACGGATGCCATTCTCAACCAGCTTGGTGGCTAGGGATTTGCCGATGCCGGAGGTGGCGCCGATGATGAGGACCTTCTGGTAGGGGAAAGACATGGCGGTGTTTTTGAAAGTAGAGAGGGGATAGTAGTAGTGATAGGAAGAGCAATAGAACACAAGTCAAGCTTGATTGATTGATTAACTGATTGACAAGCCTTCGAAACCAGCAGCAAGCCTGGTATTTATCGTCTGGAGGAGAGGAAGGGCTCGGATGGCGTAAGTAAAGCTGCAACGGAGACTAAGCCTAATCCGGTCGGACCCCAGCCAAGACATCCACGCGGAGACTAGACCCAATTGGGAAATGCATCCAATCTTCAGGGTCGGTTCGCTTCCCGAGACGTTGCGTTGGTACCAGTAAGCTTTTCTTCCTGCACGATTTGCCCTGGCTGGCATGGGAAGAGTGCGGAAAGGAGGAGGATTGAATTCTAGAGATATTGTTGTTTATGAATTCGATGATTTGTCAGGTGGTGAGGAGGTGGAAACGGATGTATCCGGAGATAAGGGGGGTCTCGACATCGCCTCCTCCGTGACATCGTATGCTTGATTGCGTCCGGTGATGTGTTGATTGGAGGCCTTCTTCAGGGGTACGCTGACTCCCCCTCCCCCCACCCCCCCTCCCTACGCTGCTTGCATGAGCAAGGTCGAAGGTTCTAGGAGAGCCATCATTAGCCGACTTAACCATAAACGCCCTTCCATCGTTGTGCTCATCACCCTCGAGCAATAACCTCCATCAACTCCTCTCGATCAACACTGCTCTCCACCAGACCCCGGAACACCCCCTCCGGATCAGCAATCAATCCCTTTGGAGACCCGTCCTCAACAATCCGTCCCGCATCCAGCACCAGCACCCGATCGAAGTCCACGATCGTGCGTAGGCGGTGGGCAATCACCAGCACCGAGGAGTAATTCCGTCCGAACTCCGCCCGGATCGAGGCCTGGATCACCGCGTCCGTGGTCTTGTCAATGGCCGAAGTGGCCTCGTCCAGCACCAGGATCTTCGGACGCCGCAGGATGGCCCGCGCCAGGCAGAGGGTTTGGCGTTGGCCCTGGGAGAAATTGCTGCCACGCTCGGAGACCTTGGTGTTGAGAACGTTGCGGGGGAGGTGCGCGTGCGGTTGGAGGGATTCGAGGGGGATGTCGCTGTCGCTGTCATCGGTGACCTCGGGGTCATCGCGGTGGGCTGTCGAGAGGGCTGGAAGGAGAAGGGTGTCCGGGATGGTCCAGTGCACGCGCTGGAGAGCGGTGAAGAGATCACGGTTGGAGTATTCGTTGAAAGGGTCGAGGTTTGACTTGATCGTTCCCGAGAAGAGGACGGGGTCCTGGGGCACGATGGCCAGACGCGAGCGGAGGTCGTGGAGCGGGATCGTGCTGATGTCGACGCCGTCGACGCGGACACTGCCCTCTTGGGCTTCAAGGAATCGGAACAGCGCCATGGCCAGGGAGGACTTGCCGGCCCCCGTGCGGCCCACGACACCTACGCGAGTGTTCGGTGGGATGGAGAATGTGAGGTTCGATAGCACGGGCGGAAGGTCGGGGGTGTAGCACACGGTCAACTCGGATACATCCAGTCGGCCCTCCGTGGGCCACGACGCTGCCACTGGAGTGGAACTGTCGTATTTCTCTTTCGGGGTGTCCAGGGATGCCGCGACTCGTTCGACGCTGTTCAGCGAGATCTCCAGATTGGCGTACTGCCGGATGGCTTGGGACATGATCGCGCTGTATCGCATGATGAAGGTGATGGCGAATCCCGCCGTCGCGGGTGTGACGCCGTTCGTGCCGAGGACCAGCGCCGAGCCTAGGGTAGTGAAGATGGCGCCGATCGTGCTAGCGCGCATGGATATCCAACGGGTTAAGAGCCACAAGGTCCATGAGGCGCGGCAGTGACGATCGATATGTGCATGCATCTCATCGCGGTAGGTCTCTTGTTCTTGGTAGGCGCGGATGGTCATGATACCATCCACTGTTGCGCACAGATGATTGAGGATGGGGCTTCGCATGCGGCTTTCCAACTCCTTGACAGCGCGGATCTTCGTGATAAATTTGCGCCCGTAGTATGTGGCAAGAAGAAGCGAGCCGAGTGACAGAAGGTTGAGCCAGACATTCACAATCGATGCTGCTAGTACGATAACAAGAAGATCGACAACGAGCCCAAGAGCGTAGTTGAGATCATAGCCGAGTCGCGAATCGATCAAGCTGAAATCGGTGGAAAAACTGTTAAGTATATCGCCTGTGGGAAGCTTGTCAAGCCATTGTAGAGGTGCACGAAGGATCGAATCGAGGAAGCGATGGAAGAGTCGTCGAGACATCTGTAGCACAATCCGTATGGCCAGAAAGCTCCGTGCCACAGTGACCAAGCACGAGACAATTGCAAGAGTCAGATAGATAGAAAGGAACCATCGCACGTCATTTGTCACCGCCGTGAATTTCATCTCCAAAGATTCTTCGGTCTCCCCCGCGGATTTACCGCTGTTGTTACTCCAGATCATCATCCAAAGACCCTGTTCATGTCAATCACAACCATAGACCAAGCAAGAGAGGCATAACTCACTCGTCCTACGCCCAGCCCACTGTACAACAGATACAGTCCTAGGAGTATCATGCAGCGATAGCTAGCGCCCGAGAGTTTGAAGATTCTTTGGCGGATCTGCCATTTGCTGATCCTCGCAGCATCAACCTGGCCGCGGTCTTCCACCAAAGTCTGCTCTTGCTCTGAAGGTAACAGAGTGCCACCCCAAGGCGCCTCTTCAGGTAGGCAGCCGCCGATGTCTTGCGTATTCTTCGAAAGTAAAGGCTTCTGCTCGCGCATCGCGGCGGGAGGCATATCATTAAAGATCCCCATCTCTTTCAAATTCTTCCTAGGTCCGGCATATCGCAGCCCTGACCTATCCAGCGCAACGACGTAATCGGCACCTGGGAGACACAGCTCGAGGTGGTACGTCGCCAGTATACGCGTCCGGCCCTGGGCAAGGCTTCCCATGAGCGCATGCTCGTACAAATGCTGTGCGGTCTGTGCATCGATCGAACTGAAAATATCATCGAGCACAAGAATCTCGGCACCGGAGTAGAGCGCGCGTGCCAGTGAAACACGCCAAAGTTGTCCCCCGCTCAGGTTGCTACCTTGCGGACCCATCTCGGTCTTGTCCTTCATGTCCATCAGCTCCAAATCGCGATCCAGAGCGCACGCGGAAACCACGCTCTGATAGCGATCTTGATCAAAGGAGCTGCCGAAGAGGATGTTGTCCCGAATAGTGCCGCTGCGGATACAGGGTTCCTGGGATACGAAGGCGATAGTCGAAGATTGCGGTCTCCGCGTTTGGCCGGAAAGAAATTCGCATTCGTTTAGAATAGCCGCGAGAATGAGGCTTTTACCGGAGCCCGATGGGCCAGTCACAACGCTTAACGCACCCGAGGGGAATAGGAGTGTGAGATCGTTCAGTTTGAAGGCCCCGCGAAGGCGGCGATTCGTCCAGGAAAGCGTCGCTTGGTCCAAGACCACACCTTCCGCCGGTTGTACTTGGAGACTCTGGTCAGGAGAGCGTAGGAACCTCTCGATCCGTCGAAGGCTTACTTGCGCGCTTGTGGCGCTTAGCAGGATCTGCGGAAGGACAGCCAGTGGTGTAGTCAGGGCACCGAGAAGAGAGATGGAAGTAAAGGCAATGGAAGCAGGCATCCCTTCGTGGAAGATCGCATATGTGCCCAAGCATGCGGCAGAAACCAGAACAGGGGCAACGTTGTAAGTGACGAACATCAACAACTCCCAGATATAGACCTGCCATTGGCTTTCCAGCTCCTTGTCGCGCAAGCCGTTGATGCAGCCCTCCCACTTATCCTCCAATGCAGACATCTTGACCTGGCGGATACCCTGCAATACTTCAATTATGGTTGCCATCTTCTTGTCACGACATTTGAGGAGATCCTTCTGAGTGTCAGCATACTTGTATACTGCGTGTACGTTTCCTGCGGTGACGAGTAGAAAGACCACCGCACCGGCAGCAAGACTTCGCCCTCCCAGTAAGCGACCGATTGAGATGGCTGCGATTATGATTCTGAGTGGCGCGTCGCAGAGCATAAAGCCAAGGGCAGAAAAGTCGGCTACCCTTTTCGCATCAACGGCCACGAGATTCATGGTACTTTGCTCATCCTCATCACTGTTCATTGCGACCGGTGCGCTCCGAGCTGTTTTGCCACTCAAAACCTTATCATAGATAGCTGCTGAGAGCTGCTCTTGGAGCCGCACAGCGATTCGGTTAGACGAATGGTAATAATTCCAGTTCTCAAGCAGCGCCGAGCAAATAAGTGACGCGCCGAGTCCGATGATTGGTAGTAATAACCACGAGTCATTCGGATCATTCTCAAGTCGCTGCAAGATATTGAGGATGGCATATTGAGGCGCAAAAGATACAACTGCATGGACCAGAGTCAGGCAGAGCTGAAAAGCTAGAGCTTTGCGATGGCAGATGCAGAGGATTTTCCACAAGCTTGTGCCGGATGGGTAGGTTGCGCGAGCCTCGCGCATAAGACCGGAAAGATTTGACGTTCGGTTGGAGTATTCTAATTCGGGTACCTCGTGGACATTAAGGTGTTTCTGACCAGGAGGCAATGAAACCTGTAACCAGCTAAATGATAGTCTTTTGAGCAGGGAAGTCGATGATTTGCGATCCACCAGGGTATTATTGCGGTAGACGTCCGGACGACGCGGGATAGAAGCAGCCGCGATGCAGGCACCGAGCGCAGCGCATATCTGCCCTAGCAGGACGAGCCTTTGTAAAGCAGAGAGCTCATTGGCCTCATGATAGCGATATCCCTCGCTGGCAAGCATGGCCAGCATAGCAAGACAACCGACACTGGCCCAGCAGCCATGCATAAACCGAGTCGTACATTCCATCTCCACCGTCAGAACTGACAGGTTGATCACCAGCATTACCCGCGCAGCAAGGCGCAGCCACAGTAACCAGGTAAAGGCGGGATTTGAGGTGATAGCACGGACAACTATCTCGGCTACCGACAAGCAGACCCCGGTGGCAGTCGCGATAAGCAGAACAGCGCAAGGTGCCTTGTCGGAAAAGGCCCGAATGGAATCCGGAGTAGCATGGCCGTCTTTGTCTTGATAGCCGGTTTGCGTGGGGTCTTGGGTTGGGAGTGACAGGCGATGTCGGTTGCGTCGATACCGCAGGGCGAGAAGGATGGCGGCGCGTCCGCCCACAATCGCCGAGATGCCGAAGCCGATCACGTGAAGCACCAGCAGAGCCATTTTTGTCTTTCGTCCCGCGCAGCAGGGCAAGTCACAGCCCGAGAGTGCATTCTTGCTGCATTCAATGCAGTGCAGAAGACCGATAGAAGTTCGGTGCTTAGAGCTAAAGCTGTGGAGATTCAAGACACTCCAGAGCAGGCTGCCAGCTTAATCAAATATGGGGGGGAATTCGGAGCAGAGAAAACTCAGGAGTGGCTGACGTATACTCTTTCATCAGTTCCTCCACTCCTCGGCCGTCTTGCCCTAACTCGGTTGGTCTCGTTCTCGTGCATCGCAATCCACCCTCCCATTCGGCTAGACGAGAATAGTCCACCGATCGCATAAGATCCTCAAGAGATATTTTGATCTTATCTGATGGCATTCGTCTCTCGGCGATAGCAGGATCATCCCTGGGCCCGTGGCTGAATCTGGAAACTCGGCCTTCGTTACTTTCTCAGGGTGTTTTCCTGCTAACAAACTGGGTTGCTGCGGAAATGTGCAGTACGAACACAAGCCAAACTTTGCGGGCAGCTCGCGCAGGGTATTAATCCCTTCACTCATTCCTCGTTTCAGGGCAAGCGCGTTTCTCCGGCAACTGGTGATGCATCTGATCACTTCGAAGTACAGCGATCCTACGCATCCGATCCAGTCTTTTGCTGACTTTGCCGCCGTGCGATTTCTCCTCGGGGTGAGTGATCAGCGATCGCCCATGGACAAGCACGTTGTTTAACTCCCTATCTCTCACTACGTTCATTTCAGGGCACATACAAGGAATAATACCAAATCCTTCCTGATCTAGTGTGATAGAGAGAAAGCTTATTTACGAGAACTTGAAGAGAGGACCGCGAGTGAGTGCTTGTCGAAAAATGGGGTCTTGCTCGCGAGGACAACTGGGGAAGCGGAGAAGATGATTGATGATTTAAATCCGGTCTTAGAGGGGATTATGGAGGAGGTAGATTATGAGAGTCCAGAGTAGATCGTTTTCATTGTCTGAGATGGCGTATATGTGTTGAATCGAAGCAATGAGATAAATTTGAGAAACCAAGGATCATGGCGAGAAATGTGTCCCAGTACATGTCCAGTTTGTCTTATTGGGTGGAAGCTTGAAGTTGGTCTTGATGACAGGGTAAGACTCGTACGACTATTGGACTTGGAAGTACGAATATTCGTATGAACTACAAAGGTAATTACGAATATCTCAAATCTCTACGAGTCTCTATACGTGCCGACCTCCAGCCCAGGTAGAGGGGAAGCATTTCAACGCAGTTTCTCCAAGCTAAAAGCCTGCTGAAGCTGATCACTAAGGCGAGGTATGCCTTGGCACTAAACCACGTGATGCTCCGGCCTCGGATCCTGACTTGGTCGGACCGAGAGCCCCAAGTTACAACTTTCAACTTCTCCAATTAACTTCTCCCAACATTTGGCGCCACAGTAAAAGTCATGCAGGGAAACGAGACTCACAGAATCCGGAGTGGTACAAAAAGTTGCATTGAATGTGAGTGGTGACCTCCCTACCACAAGAAAACCCAAATGAACCCACCTTACATTCCACGCCACCTGAATTAGGCAGACGTCGCAAAGTTCGCTGCATTCGAGCCTCTGAAGATGCCTTGGTTTGCCGGAGATGCGAAGAGACGGGCTCAGAATGTGCGCCTCAGGAATACAGACCAGTTGCGTCGCGGAGGGTGACTTCGCGACAACGGATATCTCAGCTTGAATCGCAGGTATCTAGCTTGATTAAAGCGATGCATCGAATCGAAGCAAAATTTGATATTCAAGTGGACTCGGCTTCGGAAATTGCTTTGAGCAACCCGAGCCCTGAACTGGAAGCCTTGGATGACGAATCCAATACGTCGGATATTCTTGCAACTGAGCGGCCATCGCATTTGCAGTCGCTCTTTCAGAATAATTGGCTCAGTTTGGATAGCCGTCAGAAAGATGGGCAACAGCAGGAGCGCAAGGAGAGACCATCCTCGAATTTGCTGAATACTGCGAGGGAGGCTCTTCAGAAATTAATTCCACCCAAGCATGAAGTGGTCGAAATGTATAATTCGGCATTTGAATGGCTCAAGGTTCTCCACGCTTTCCTCCCCCAGCCATTTATTGCTCAATCCAAAGCCGACGCGCTGGGTAAATATGACAGAATGATAAAGCCGGATGTGGACACTATGGCACTCGCCTCATGGATGCTCACACTGGCAATCACTGCTCAGCAAACACCACGAGATGGCCCATCCACGCCTGAGCAATCTGAAAAGTGGCTGAAGCAATTCGAACTCTCCCAAGCGATATCAGACGCCGTGGAGAGCACGATCATTTCTCATGACCGGCTGCTAGGCACGACAACTGGTCTTATGCTATGCATGCATTGGACTCGGCTGTAAGTGATAGTCCAATTACTGGCTGCCGCACTCGCTAAATCATAAGCCAAAATTAGTCAACTGCCTCAAGGCAATTTCCAGAAAGCATGGGTTCGTTTACGACACGTTAGCGCGATCGCCGAGTTAATGGGACTGCCGAGGGCATTCCAAGCTTCCCAGCGCAATCGAATACCCACAACAAACGATGAAGTGCTGCTTGAAAAGACCCAGCTATGGGAAACGATATCTGCTGTAGACAGGCTTCTAGGAATGGTTCTTAACCTTCCTCCAGATACGCGTTGGCACAGACCTATCAAGGACGAAGCATTGACCGTCGGCGGCGTTGTCCAGCCTCATTTGTATTTCGCAAAACTCGTGAATATTGCTGGAAAGGTTCAAGCTTTGGATGAATTGAACACGGCCCACGAAAGTACTGCTCAACTTACAAAATCTACTTTTGAAATGGTTGAAGAGCTCAGGTCACTTGCGTCTCAAACTCCGGAGTCTTGGTGGACCCAGCCAATAGAGCGCATCAAGCCCGATAATATAGTTCAGGCCATTCACTACTACGTCCTTTTGAGGGCCTATATGCCGCTTGCATTGCGCCAAACCTCAATCGAGGAGCCTTTCAACCCCCAGCTAGCCTGTTTTAAGTCATGCGAATCAGTGATACAGCGAAATGCTATCCTTCTTGAAGCTGTACCTCCTGGATTCTTCTTTTACACTATGATGGAGTTGCACACATTCACGGCCACGGTGATCCTTATTCTGCTCTCCCAGACATCTAAAATCAGTCAACAATTCAGCCTGCATGTTGACAAGGCAAAGACCGAAAGGGAGGTGCAACAAGTCATTGATATCATGCGCAAAAGAATCAATAATACCCCCACCTCACGAATTGCCGAAAGCGCAGTGAATACATTATCTTCCTTGACTAATCTCCTACACGAGGACGAAAATGTTACCGAGGAGCGGAAATTGATTTTGGATGTTCCTCTCTTGGGAAAAGTACATATCCAGCGCAACGTTCGTACGGCCCCGATACCAACAACGGAAAAGGTTCAGCCCTCGCGTACTCCTTCAAGACCGCCGTCAAGGACCAGTCACCAGCCACTCCCTCCCTCTCTTGGCTTGAATGCAGCTTCCTCAAGCAGGCAAGACTTTCCGCAATGGGATGACCTCTCCTGGTTCATTGAAGAAGACCCTGCCTACTTCCTTCAGGATACACTCATGGAAGATACGTTTGACCAAACTACTCTTTGGTACAATGGGGTCCACAACTTTTCCTTCGGTGGTTGATACTATATAGAATGAAATATGCAGAGTATGGCAAAAGAGTCCACTGATATGCAATAATCCATTGCGCTGTAACGTACAGTTTTTTACACTGTCAAATATTGAGAATATAGCCTTGTCGGAGAAGCAAAACAAGATGCAAATTAGAAACCACCCATGATGATTATTCCCCCAAGAAAATTAATGGGACCGTGCATCGATATTTGCATTGACAGAAATTATCGACAAAAACAAAGACTGTTTCACCTTGGAAACTGCATTGGCTTCATGATACAAAACAGCTCAAAAATGATGAATTGTAGTCTACATCTGAATTTCAAAGATGGTAAGGCCCTAGGAAGACTGTTTGGCCAGATAAGCTTGTTGGAACCAATTGTTAAATTCCACAAGCAGGTGCTGGCGATGAGTCTCAATCAGATCATCCCCACAAGCTGCTGGGAAATACACCGCCAAATCCGCATCGAAGCTCTGTCCATCTGCATTCTCCTTGAATTGATGGTACACCTCAGCCATATGGACTTTTCCCTCGGTGAACCCCCGGAACTTCATCTTGATAGGATACTCAGCAACCTGATCAATGAAATCCGGAACATCGTCGACGGTAGTCATCTTAAAGAGCGTGACTTTGTCGCCCAATGTCTCCAGAACGGACATATCAGTCGAACCCTGGAGGGTGTTGATAACCCAGTGTTCTGGGTGAGATGCGACCTTCTCCGCATCAGGAGTGGCCTCTTGCATGAACCAGGAGTGAAAGTCTTTGATGCTGATTCCACGGGGCGAAACTTGGATGCGGGATGCGCGCCACTTTCCATTGGACTCGGCGCAAGTCTTCTTCCAGTAGGCGTCGCTGGCGGTGATTTCGTCCTGGAGGAGCTCTGTCAGGCGCTCATCGCCCAACAGTCGTCGCATCAACATCATGGATCGGCGGGCAAAAGCGGCTTCAAATTCTTTGCATCCGCCCTGGACTTTGAATTCGCTCTTGATTTCCAGCTGGAATTCAGAGGGAGCGAAAGTGAGAGGAGCCATTCTGGAAGTTGAATCGAGGTGATTGGAAAGTTTGAATCAAAGGAGGTAGTTGGGATATGTAGTAACAATACGAGAGGGCTTGTAGCTTTGGGTAAGCCGTATTTATATGTTTTTAGTACCTGAGATATTCTGTCTCGTAGTTTATACCCAGTAGTGGAGGTCACGGACAATTTTCCAAAATTCGTCCGTGTCCGAGCAATTCCGGCCTCCAAAATAATGCGCTTTCCGAGTGATCAATCAAAGTCAGGTATGCCCGTTGCATAGAGTTGAACCCAGTAGATAGTACCTAAAAATCGTACCGTATCACATGGATGTTGTTTTTTTCCCCTAATTATGTAGGTGAAGGTTAGCCCCTCCTATTCACAAAGTACTCATATCTAATTGAAACTCAAGGTTATCCAATACATCCTGCTGTTCTATGTAAAAGTTCTATGCTACTTTGGCTTCATCATATACAATGTAAAGTTTCTCCTCACGACATTACTCAAAGAGAGCCGCGAAATATTGTGCACTTTGCTTGATTTACAGTTCCTAGTTGCTGAGCCGCCTCTCAGGAGACTTTGATATGTGAAACCCACCCTATTGTTAGTTTCATGCAATAAGCCAAACAGAAATGCGGTAATAAGTAAGCAGAAAGCCAATACTCGGAAGAGAACCGAAAAGAACGCGATAATTCTTTGCAAATTTGAAGGCTAGGTTAGGGCACTATAGGAATGGTTGGGTGTGGAGCTCGGCATGTGCATGAAATTGGGTCCGCGGACGAATTTGTCGACCGAGACCGAACATCTTGCTACTGAACTAGACCCCCACTGATGGTATTCCGCCACCACGACAGCTAGGTTGACAAGACTCTTCGCTTTCAAGAAAGATTAGCCATTCTTCAAAGTCGAAACCAAAGAACGCATCTAACCATCTGTTCTGTATACCGTTGCATTCACTGCTACAGATAGACATCCTTCCACGTTCATTTAGCGTCTCACAAAGCCCACTCGATCCACATCGCCAACATTCACTACATCGACATCGTCTACACTACACATACATCGGCACCTACACTTATTCAACCATGGAAAACTCTCTACAAGCCCGAGGGGGCCCATATGCCTCAAATCTGGCCGGAATGGGCGGCCTCCCAACGACTATCCCCGATGTCCCAATTTGCGCCGTTTTTATCGTCCTGTACATTTGCTTCGCCGCAACAAACATGAGCATCTTCCAAGTCAACCGTCGAAGGGGCCACAAATTCATCATCAATTCTTTAATGTACGGGTTCTGCATGGCAAGACTCCTAACCCTTGTCCTGCGCATCGTTTGGTCACAGAGGCAAACAAACGTTTCCCTCGCGATAGCCGCCCAGGTTTTTGTCAATGCAGGCGTGCTCATTCTCTACATCATAAATCTCATTCTCGCCCAACGTATTCTACGAGCGAAGCAACCGCACATCGGGTGGAGTCCAATCTTGCGCATAACTTTCAAGATCCTCTATGTATTGGTTGGAGGCGCCTTGATTATGGTTATCACGGCTGTGATTATATCGGCTTATACCCTGGATAAACATGTCCAACAGCAATGTCGGGATGCCCAGCTTTCAGGTCTCACCTACCTTCTTGTTTTCAACTGTCAGCCGGCACTGCACATTGCCACAGCACTCTTACTGCCGAAGTCACAAGACGAGGAGAAGTTTGGAGAGGGAAATTCGCGGACTCAGGTGCTTACCGTGATGATTTCTGCGTGTTTCTGTATGATGATTGCAGGATTCAAAACTGGGGCTATGTGGAGCCCGCCCGATCTTGCTATCAATGCCCCCTGGTATGATTCCAAGGCTTGTTTCTATGTCTTCAACTTTACCTTTGAGATCATCACTCTCGGTATATTGACATTTAACCGCATTGATAAGCGATTCTGGATTCCCAACGGATCTACCAAGCCAGGGGACTATACGCGTCTTGGTATAAGTAACCCAGCTAGTGTTGACACTGGTTCGCTTGGGGCCCCTTCCAATTTTCATGAGAAGTTGATCCCAGCAATCTGAGAAGACACCGAAGATAGTCATTTGGGTTTCCATAGTTACGTTGAGAAGCGATTACTAAATAGAATTGAGAGCACGGGATAGAACAGGATAGAACAGCATTCAGGTTAGGGGAATTGCATGTTATACGACGGATGCGCGAATGTGTTGACTCATATGGGAAATAGTTATATCGCTTCCGATGCTTAGATTTAACGTCTTATGTCAATTGAATATGAGTTGCCGCACAAGAAAGGCATATCGTCGTGGAGGGGATCTCTCAGATTGGCGGAGTTGTGGGCGCAATTGCTCACCGCATACCACGGGCGTGATCTGATATAAGTATTCAGGTAGACTTTGATGTGAGCCAGTAATATTTGCTGCGAAAGACACCGTGTGGACGAAAGTGTATAGTCATTCACGAAATTCATAGCAGAACCGCTTGAGTTGGGGCAAATACTCAACTGCGACCACATATTGGAGAAACCAAGAGGAGCAAAATCCGACCTTGCCGATACAAATGCGGGCAAAGCATTCATATGGCAAGTGGGATTTCAACACCGTCAGATGAATCGGGGTACATTAGCATCGTAAGGGCGCAACCTTGCGATGAACGTGGATAGGTGGGAGCCAGAGGATGAGAAACCTGGAGCTTCTGGCCTCTACGGCGCAGCCCACTGCTGTAGGACCAACTAACAGCAACGTTTGGCATTGTGTACAAGGCAGCTGGTGGGAGCATTTGATCTTGCGTCGGCGGCAGTTATGGCATGCCTGTCTTGGAGATGGTTTGGGCGGCATGGCAATGTCCATTGTGGAATATAGACGAGATTGTTGCTACGCGAGGCTCGTAAGCCTCCTTTAAATTCATCAAAAGCGCGCTAAGCTTCTCGGCTTGTTAAAATATTTCAGCCCCTGCCAGGCGAATCTCGCCAGACAAACAATCTCTTGTAGGTCTCACCATAACCCGCCCGTCAAAAGCCGCCCGCATAGACGCGTCTCCATCCCACCACAATCTACGGAAGTCAAAGGCCCTGTTGATCTAAATCAGTTATGCATCATTTTACCAATCTACGATGTGTCAAAGTTCAAAGCAATCGTTAGCTTTGCGCTACACCGCTTATTCTTGCAGATGTTGAAGAGAAGAATTCACTCATTTTCTTCTTATATCATCTAGTTCGGTGCACGAAGACGGTTTGGCCTCGCACTATGCCTAGCACCTTTTCCTACGGGGAGCCAAACACCAATCGCATCGGTTCAGACCTAGGATTCAAAAGACGCGACCTTTGTTTTATTATTTCTCGGCATAGCAAGATATAAGTCCCAAGAAGGGATGAGTTTCTGATGCATTTTCTTCGCTTCGTAGGACTAAAAGAGTATATGAGATTACCTCACAGTACCCCGGAAAGGCTGCTTTTGTTGCTAGATTCAAACTGTCCTTACACTTTAGCTTTCAACCACAGTTAACGAGAGACAGACGTGAGTCAATAGATAACAAATAGGTCAACAATCAAAATTTCCAGGCCCATGTTCAATAGCTTAATTGGACTTTTTGGTGTTGCTGGCAGGCAGTTATCAACGTAATATGCCGGATATGGAAAAAAAACAGACATAATTATGCTAGTAGACTATATTGTTCTCTTTCCCTCGATTTAAGAGAAAACATAGGTATCGTTACGTATAGCACAATGACTATGGGCTACTTACTGAGCACTGGACGCTGGGTCCTGAAATTGAAACTCAAGTACAACATACAACGTAGGAGACTTACCTGTCATATTTTGGTTTCTATTCCCAATTTAGATAATTCGTTGTTTTAGATTCGCATCTACGCATCGGCCCCATTGCTTCAGGGCCACTTTGGTACAATACGAGGGGCTCGTGAAACTTAGCTCGAGAAGAGCAATATGGCAAAGTGCAAACCACTGACTGGAGGATGCAAGACATATGCTTGACTTAGGGCAGAGCCACTCATAGAAGAGACAGTGCGCATGGTACGGAAGAATCGTCTCGCTCTGGTGCTGAGGGAGGCACCTAGCTTAGCGGGACTCAGCGGGACTCAACGGGACTCAACGGGACCTAAGATCATTTAGAGATCTTTTAGGTCCTATTAAACTTTTTTGGGTCCCTCTTGAGCGGGAACTCGTGCTGAGGAGGTGGTACTTTACCGGAGGATCGGAATGCCGAGACGCCGAGCCCCGGTAGTGGATCTCCCCGCGCTTACTTTATCTCTCTTGAAGATATATTGTTGAAATTGAATTTTACCTTCATATCGCTCTAATCGGCCCGAAACACCGAACCAATCGAAACATGAGCCCATTACCACATTACAGATAATGGGAAGAATGTGACAGTCGGGGAAGGTCTAGTAGTCTTCACGGATGAAGCCGCTTGTTGCATGGAAAGGAGACGGACTCGTTGGCCAACATAGGATAGACTCTGCGCTAAAACGACAGCGGAAATGGACATAGACTAGTCCAAAATGGACAGGGGGTGAGCGACAAACAAATGAAATGAAGCAGGGTCGGGATGAGTAGCCAGCGAGCTGCGCAGGTCTTCGAATGTTCGACAAAATAAATCTTCCTCGGCTCTCGCAGACGCTGGCCCATTCGATATGCACATTATAGAAGGGTAATATTACCAACCCCCCCCCCCCAAGCCGAATCAACCAGCTAATCGGCAAAGTCTGAAACAAGCAGTGTTGGTTCTATTGTGCGTAGTCAAACTGACTCCACGCGGGGAAACTTGGCACAACATGTGGTGTCCCCGCAAAAGGGACGCTCTCTTCTGGACCTGGGGCAAGCTGAGAATGGTCAGCCGCAGGAATTGTGGGACAAATCCTCCCGGGAACGTTCTCAAACTGTCTCTTTCTCGGGCTAATATCGGAACAAGGACTTGGAAGAGGGTCCTAGTTCAACATGGCACGGAAAGTGTCTCCGGGGTAGATCGGGGCCCTGTCATGAAATGCCAAAGTGCTAATGTTTGCTTTCTCTTTGAAACCATGTGTTCATTTAGAACAACATCCCAGCTATATAAAGTGGGCATTCGATTGAGAGATTTCTGATTACATTCTTGTCAATTCTCATATTGGCATTCTATTAAACCAGAAGCAAACGCTGCCGGTCATAACTACCATGCTTGTGAAGCCGCTTGCAATTACAATCCTAACCCAGGTGGCCAAGGCAAATGTCTGGTTAGGTAGGTTTAACCCTTTTGATTAGCGATCGCTTGAGGTGTGTCTAACGAATATTGGATATAGCTGGCGTGAATATCGGTAGGTCTGCCCAGATTTGACCACTGTCGGGACTATATCTAATATTGTCCTCTATAAAACAGCTGGATTCGATTTCGGCTGCGGAAATACAAATGGGGTATACACTGCTTCTGAGGTTATGCCGCCGCTCCTGTCCCAGGGAGGAGCTGATGGAGCAGGGCAAATGAGTCATTTCACCAACACCTATGGTCTCAATGTCTATCGTCTTCCAGTCTGCTGGCAGTACTTGGTCAACAACAACCTCGGTGGAAGTTTAGATGCGACCAATTTCGGCATCTACAACGAGCTTGTTCAAGCCTGCTTGGACACCGGAGCGTATTGTGTCATTGATATTCACAACTATGCCCGTTGGAATAATCAAATTGTAGGGCAGTCGAGCGGTGCGGTGACTAGTGACCAACTTGCTAGCGTGTGGTGGCAGCTGTAAGAGATCTACTTTCCGTTTGAAAGCTTCCCTGACCTTAGGCTAGGGCCGCAAATTATGCGTCGAAATCTAAGCTTATATTTGGAGTGATGAATGAGGTGCGCAGACAGCAGAAACCACAGCCAGTCGTGACTCTAACCTCCCAATTTCACAGCCTCACGACCTTGACGTCATATCATGGGCAACCAGCGTCCAAGAAGCCGTCACGTCGATCCGCAATGCGAGTGCAACGTCCCAGATAATTCTGCTTCCGGGTACTAGCTATACATCCGTTGGTGGCTTCATCTCGGACGGATCTGCTTCAGCTCTTAGCGCCGTGAAAAACCCCGACGGAAGTACTACAAACCTTATCTTTGACGTGCATCAGTATTTGGACTCGGACGGAAGCGGTACCAGTACTACGTGCACTACCAATGGGGTCAGTAACCTCGGAACGCTAGCGACTTGGTTGCGTAGCAATGGACGCCAAGCGTACGTCCCACATACAAAGGACTCTTCGAGGTTATTTAACATCAGTGCTAATAAAATATGAACCAGGTTTCTGACTGAAACTGGTGGCGGAAGTACTTCTTCTTGCTACACAGATCTTTGTGCTGAGTTAGACTGGATGAAGTAAGTCCCAATCGGCGATTCAAAACAACCGTCGGTGTCTTGCGTATCTAACGCTACTTTTCTGGGCAAATAGTGATAATTCCGATGTTTTTTTGGGGTGGATCGGATGGGCAGCTGGATCTTTCGCGACTAGTTATGCTCTTTCCTTGACTCCCACATATGCGGATGGTGTCTGGACAGACACTGGTATCTTGTCAAGCTGCGTTGCTGGAAAGTTTTGAGTCATACGTGAAGCTCGTATCAAAATATCGGATTAGCTTTTGTGAAATTCTTCATTGGTACTCAAAAATACACCCGAAACCTGCATAAAATGTCCAGGCCATCAACTCCTCCAGTTCACTCTGTTTGACTACACACAGATGAGCGCGAGGTCAAGTCGAGCCTTATATATTGACAAGACTAGTGATTATCAGTCGGAAATAGATCAGGCAAATCCGCCAGCCAGCTCAAAACTTCGATCTACATAGTGTTTGATGCATCTACATGATGTTGTCGGTAAGTGTGGGCACTTCTATCATGATCATGTATAAGAGCCTAGCTGCACGTGGAATTAACGTGAATAGAAGACAATTATATGATTAATTGTGTCCTTGTACCATAGTGTTCGAAATCAGTTATACCTTCACGCCCTTTTGACTCAATTGCCGGAAAATGATCCGAAATGAGCAGGTCTATCTAGTATTTAGCAAATATTTGGCTCTTTTAATATTGTAAATAGTCCTTGGGTGGATTTATAATTAGGAAATCATTTCTAAGTGTGTTATACTTCTATAATAATTTCAAAATTTAGTTTTAAATAACAATATAAACTTTTTGCATTAGGATTTTTATTATTTGTATTGGGAAAAGTAGTAAATATTATCTTTACTTTCACTATTACAG